GATGAGAGCGGAGTGGCCGTATGAGCTAACGCGTTGTGCACTGCACCAACGTTGCTGGGAAACCTTATATATGATAAATGATACAAAAATAGTCATGAGTTCGCGTCCAGGTGCCAAGGCGTCTTTTAAATCCCCGCCCACACCCCCTGGCCCAGGAACACCCCATATAGCCTTAACGGCGAGGAAGGGGCGGACCCAATAAAAAAAAAAAGAAATAGTAGAATGAGGGATGGTTCCCCTACTTCCGAACCATAGCACTTTAACTGAGAAGTTTCTCTCTCCGAATTCATTTCTATATTTTTCTTTTAAGTAAGATATGTATTTTTTTTTTTAATTTCTTTATTGAGTATTATAACAATCTGTCTGTTGGACATTGGTTATAGTGAGGTAGGATGACATTCACACCATATGTACAAAAAAATAAAATAAATAGAACAAAATAATAATCAAAAGTATATACAATAGACAATAAAATAAAATAACCTAAAAAAATAAGAAAATTAAAACTAAGGAAAAAAAAAAAAACACATGCATACCTATATACAATCAGGCGAGGGAACTCCAGGAGAACCCTGCGCTACTCTCCCAACCGCGTCACTGGTACTAAAGCCAGCGGAGATTGGTCGAGAGCACTTTAGCCACATACACACATGTCTTGAGTGAAGAATCTGGCCATTGCCAGAACTCCAATTTATATAATCTACAAAAGGTCGCGAGGCCACTGCCGTTTCAACCTTCTTGGAGGATTATAGGGATGGGAGATGCTTGATAGGGATTGTGCAAGAGGATTTGGGTGGTAAGTAAGGTTCTGGTGAAATTTGGAGAATTTTTCTGGGATAAGGTCTAGGACAAATGGGATGTTAAGGTCATGATGTAGGGTTTTGTTGGATACATAGAAAGGAGCATCGACTATTGTTCGAAGGACTTTAGACTGGAAGGATTGGATGCGCTTGATGTTAGAAAATTTTGCTGATCCCCACAGTTCTAGTCCGTAAGTCCAAATAGGTTTCAGTATTGTCTTGTAGATCAGTAGCTTGTTTTCAATGGAAAGTTTAGATTTTCTGCTTAGTAGTCGGTATAGTTGGCCGTATCGTCGGTTGAGTTCTTGTCTTTTGAGTCTAGTATGCGGGTTCCAAGTTAGTCTTCGGTCTAAATGAAAGCCAAGATACCGGACTGTGTCTGAATAAGGAAGCTGGATGGAATTAAAGAGTACTGGTGGACAGGAATTGCGTCGGAGTGTAAAGGTAATATGTTGGCATTTAGATTCATTAACTTTAATGCGCCAGTTATTACACCAGTGCTCAATCAAGGTGAGGTGACTTTGGAGATTTAAGGATGCTATTTCGGGATCAGAGTTGGATGATAAGATTGCGGTGTCGTCAGCGAATGTTGCAAGAAAAGTATCGGGATGAACAGGGATGTCAGCAGTAAAGAGGATGTAAAGCACGGGACCCAAGACGCTGCCTTGGGGAACACCGGCTTTAACGGAGTAGATATTGGAAAATTCTGTTCCACAGCGAACTCGAAAGGAGCGGTCAGAGAGGTAGGATCGGAGGACTAGGTACAAGGACTGAGGTAAATGGATTTTAAGCTTGGAGAGCAGTCCGGAGTGCCATACCCGGTCAAATGCCTGTGCAATGTCCAGAAAGGCACCCGAACAGTATTCCTTGTTTTCTAGGGCTGAGGAAATATGATCAACAACTCGGAGTCCTTGTTGAACAGTAGAATGTTGAGAGCGAAAACCAAACTGATGGGAAGGGATATTTTGGGATTCTATAATGGGTAGGATTCGTTTCAAAAGGATCTTTTCAAAAATTTTTGAAAGGATTGGGAGTAGGCTGATTGGTCTATAGGATGTTGAGCTATTGAGAGGTTTTCCTGGTTTTGGGAAAAGGATAATAGTGGAGTGTTTCCATAACAGAGGGAAGTGGGTGGTGCGTAGGATACAATTGTAGATATATGTAAGGAATATGACTGCTTTGGATGGAAGTTGTCGAAGGATTTGAGGTGTAAGGAGATCATGTCCAGGAGCTTTACGGGGGATTAGTTTTTTTAATTGAAATTTTACTTCGGAAGGATGAATAGCTTTTGGGGGCAAGGAAAGTGGGATTGGTGATGTAAGGAGTTCTTCTACTGTTACGGTGTGGGCAGGATGGGATTCCGGATGTGAAATAAATGTATTGGATAGGTGAATGGCGAACTCCTCAGCTTTATCTTCGTCAGATGCTGCCCAGGAGCCATCACCTCGTCGGAGAGGATGGGAAATGCGGTGAGGATTTAGGATTTTTGTTGTGGTTTTCCAAAGGGAATTGTCGCGAGAAGAGAGGGAGGATAGGTAGGAGTTGAAGGATTGTGATCTGAAGGTGGCTAATTCCAGTTTTAATTGTTTGCAGTAGTAATTATAGGAGCAGCGGTCGGTAGGATGTCGGGTACGTTGCCATAATAATCTGGCACGGCGTTTGGTGCGGATTAGGTTAAGGAGGTGTTGGGGTAGAATGGTCTTTATAGGAATTCTGGAGGAGTCTTTTGGGAAGGAGGCAGTCCAGGCGGCTTGTTGGATTGTGGTAGTAAAGGAATTTACGGCACTATCAAGGTCATCGGGAGTTTTGAGGGATATGTTGAGATCAATATTATCGGAGATTATTTGGCGGAAAAGGTCCCAGTTTACTGGGCCCCTAATGAATGACGGTGGAGAAGGTTTGGGAACAGGTTCAAGTGAAACATTAAGGATTAGAGGACTATGGTCAGAGGAAAGTTCATTTAGACGTGTAATGGAACAATTGAGGGGACTTAAGCCGCTGTGGATAAAGAAATCAAGAAGATCAGGATTACGGTTGGGATCTGTGGGCCAGTAGGTAGGAGAGTTGGGGGAAAGGAGGTGAAAACGTTGGGAATTGAGTGCAGACAGCAGGGTTCGGCCACGAGAATTCGTGATTCTGGAACCCCATTGTTGGTGCTTGGCATTTAGGTCTGCACCCAAGATGAAGTGATGTCCTAAGGAGTCGAGGAGAGAACTGAAATGGGCATTGGATATGGATCGGTTAGGAGGGCAATACGCTGATGCAAGAGTAACCGGAAAGGAGAAGGTTTTTATCACGATAGCGGTGGACTGTAGGAAATCATGTATTGGTAATGGGAGTACGTGATGGGAGAGGGATTGGTGTACAATTACAGCAGTACCGGCATGTGCTTTTCCGTCAGGGTGGTCAGTAAGATATGTCAGGTATTGTGGTATATTGAAGTGCTGTTTAGTGGTTAGTCGAGTTTCAGTAATTAGTGCCACATCAATGTTCTTGTCAAGTAGTAAAGTAGATAGTTCGTCTGTATGATTTCTAACACCATTCGCATTCCAAAGGAGAATGGATATGGGTTTAGGGATGTGAGTCATTTAAGGATTTTTTAAAGGAGGGATGAGGTGAGATACGAGATTCGTGAGGAGTGATATGAGTGGAGTAACAAGGGATTTGAAATCAGTGAGGAAAGATGCTAACAAACTTGTGAGATCTGTTGCATTTGAAGGAGGAGGAATATGAGGAATTTGTTGTTGGTGGTTAGGTATATTAGGATGAAGAGGATTTTGAGGTTGGGGTTGAGGTTGTTGTTGTGGCAGGGCTTGACATTTATCGGTTAAAGTCTTACCTCTAAGTAGTTGGGAGAATGATACATCATTGTTTACATTTCTTTAAGAAGCCATTTTCCCCATCGACTTTCTTTCTAATTAGTTTAAGAACCAATGAACCAGTGTTATATTGAGGATATTAGTAAACAATTACAAATCAGAAACTAACTGCTATAACTTTTTATCAAGTACTAGTTAAAAGCATATTCTAAATCAAATCAATTTTAAAAGGGTGGTTCACACATTTTATTAATTAGGCTCATTCCCTTCTCTCCTTACACCCACAACATCACTAGAAATAAAAAATAAATTAAACCATCACCAGACAGTCGAATTTGTCAGATCAATTATTGCATAAACATCAACTGTGTGCCAGTAGCAAATTGTTGGATAGCAGGATGGGCAATGATTACTTGAGTAGAAAAAAAATTTTTGTTCATTCAATAGAGACTAAAAAAAAGTTTTTTTCTATCCAGGAATTGGTCAAGACAAAATCTATTCTTTCTTTAGCTCTTGGTTTATTAGCTTAGTTGGTATAATGCAAGCATTTTTATATGCATCCCCGAAAAATCTAGCGTTTTATATCTAAAATTTATTTCACCCAAAATGATATGGTGCTTGAGTAAACATCACAATTAGGCACAATTTCTTAACAAGTTTAGACTCTATAATAGAGGTATAACTCTGTTAAAACTTATCATTTGTTTCCTGAGGTATATTTCTTGAAAATAAAACAAACACATATTTTATTCATACAACTACAATTGACAACGAGCTATTTGGGGATGTCTTGATCTCTTGAGCTTGAATTGTGAACAGTAAATTGACAACCAGACAATTTATCTAAATTAAAATGAAGACCTATTGTTCATTATTATTGGAGTTCAGGATCACTTTTAAACTTCCCGATATATCTTAGCAGTAGGTTTCCTCTTTCTGTGCTCAAGAGATTCAGAAACCACAAAGTAAGTCCATGTCAGAAATGAAAGAGCACATTCGAATGTAATTTTACTATTAACAAAAATTAACAGCACTTGATAGAGCAAAGTTATGTTAGATAACTGGAGCTATTAGACAAAGGAAACTGTTCAAATACCCAAATAACCATTTTTTGTGAGTTGCAGATAAGAATTAGGTTTTCTCAATGATTACCAAATATTATTCATGAGTTTGTAATTTAAAATATCAAGTTTGCCAATTTAACAATACATAATTATCAACCTGCTCAAAAGACATGCAGCTATTTTCTAGATTTAAGCATCTCTAAACCAAAATACCAATGAAACTTGACCCTTAAACTTATTCAACAAAATAATTTTCCAAATTATTCTACACAGAAAAAGTAATACTTCCTTTAATATTTATCTATTGACATAGCTTAATGGATGTCTCAGTAAGTTTTTTGTCTAATGCTTGCCAGGTAGAAGAAGAAAGAGGAGGAAACCAAGAGGAAGTTCCTCCACAAGGAAAACAAAGAATCCAAACACAGAGCTGGCCACGGCCACAAAATAGGCCACCACCTCACCAACAACAAAACCCTCATCACTTTCAACAACAAGATTACTCTAATCAAGGAGAGAGTCAGGACCGAAGGAAGTCTGTAACCTTTGGGCCTGCAATAAGAAAAGATATTCCTCCAGATATCAGACCACCACCTATCCAACAAGGAGTAGTTATAAGAAGGCCATCTCCCTGGGCTGTACTCCGTGCAAAATTACCAACAGGTGAAAACATACCCGTTTTACGCCCAGTGATCAGTAACGAACATCTTATTCAAAGGATGCAAAATCCAGAAGCTGCAGGTCGACCACCAAGTAGACCACCATTGTCAAGGCCAGGATCACAAGAATCAGTTCGGCCCCCTTACATACAAAGAAATGACTCAGTTGTGGGGAGACCTCCCAGTAGCCCTCGGCCTTCAGCAGGTCCAATGCGACCACCAAGTCGAACTTCTATGTCATCTAAAGATGAAGAAGATGAAACTATCACAAATGAAATGAAAGGTGGTCAAGCTTCAATGACAAGGCCAAATAGTGGACAGAAAGTGCAAGGACAACAGAATCAAATGCCAACTGCAGCACAGAGTCCTATTATACAAATTGCAAATCATCCTCAAAATCCCATCCAAATGAATCAACCAATTAAAACACAACAGAATCCTGTTCCATCAAACTTACAACCTCAATCAACACAACAGTATAATCAGTCTCCAGTGTCACAAATGACTGCTCCAACAATGCCATCCAAACCACAAACACCAGGACTAACCAACCAACAAACAAGCCAACAAAGTTATGTTCAAGGAATACCATCACAAAATTATACTTCACAGCAACAACAAAATATAAATACACAACCACAGCAAAATCAGCATTCTCAACCTCAGATTTCAAACAGTAATACACCACCACCTCCAGTTCAAACACAGATTCCAGTAAGTCCAGCAAATGGGAATCAAACTCATCCACCAAATGCTATTCAAAGCACACCTCCAAAATCTGGCATACAAACTCAAGCACAAATTTCTTCAAACTCTGTACCACAAGCTCCAGCACAGAATAATGTTCAAAACATGCCTCCAAGCTCTATACCACAAGCCTCAGCACAGAATCCTATTCAAGGCACTCCAAACTCTGATTCACAAACTCCAGCAAAGAATTCATTTCAGAATATTCTTAATTCTGGACCACAAACAACCGCTGGTACCACACAGCCTACAGCAGTACAAAATACGGTTCCATCTAGTCCAGTTGGTGCAAGAAGACCAGACCCAGTTCGTCCTACAAATCCAATTCCATCATTAAATAAAAATTCATCACCTCAAAAACAAGAAAATATATCATCTAACAATGAGGACAACAAAGTAATGAAACCTGCGGAAACTGCTAAAGAAATTAAAACAATCCAAAACAGAAGCCAAAATGACATAGTAAAAGAGCAAAAAGAAAATGATTCACCAAAAAAAGTAAATGGGTTGCAAGAAAAACCATTGCATAAACCTCCTATAATAGTGGATGCAACTCTTAAAAGACCTAAGGATTTAAAAAGTCCTTCTCTGACTAGAAAAGGTAAGCTTCCCAAACATTAACTACCACCTATCCTTAAGATAAATTAAACAGTACAAAATCAAAATAACTGAGATGGTCCTTAAGGTTTATATAAACAGTAAAGTAGATCAAGTTTTTTTTGTAAATGTATCTGTATAAGGTGAAGATCCATGTTTAGTAATAGCTTTCTCAATTTTTTTTATTTTATTTTTACAATGTTATCATGCTTAAACATATTTCAACAGTAAATATCCATGAGGTTATAATAAATAAAGTGATATTTAAAAAAGGAGCCATTTATTTATTAAAAAATTCACTGGATTTTTTGTAGTTCAACTTAATTAATTTCTAATAACTGTTATAATGAGCTGAGAGCAACTCAAATAATAGACATAAAGTAATTGATGTTAAATAATTAATACATATGTCTCTTTATGATGAAGAGTCTCAATTATATTTATTGAGACTATTTATATATTTATACATAATTAAATAGTTGAGAATAAAAAAAAATTAAATAGTTTCTATTAAGCAATTTTTTTACACCAAATTATGAAACTTATTTTATTTTTCAGCTGAAGAAATCGGCCAAACTGCAAAAGAGAATGAACCACCAAGACCTGAAAGTTCCAAAAAAGAAAATACACCTAACAAGGTACAAATGATTTTTTTACTTTTTCCGATAAATTAAGTATACAGTATGTTCAGCTATTGAAGGTTTGGATTATTTAAGTTTCTTTTTTGTTGTTTTATCAAAACATGCTCCAGTGAAAAGCCTAACGTACCATACAAAACAAAAATTCTACTAAATGAAATCCGAAATAGGTCACACATTTATCTAATAAAAATAATAATAATAATTACAAAAAAAAAACATGTACCATTACCATCTATAAAGGATTCTGAGTTCAGTACTTTTTTAGGAAGTACTGAAACACTACAGCTTCATACATAAAAACAGCCTTCCTAATTAAGGCCAACAGTTGTAAAGTGAGGTGATCGGGCTAGGATCAACCACCAGGTTTTCCCCTTAATTAATTATTTAATTAAGAGTACCCACTTTATAAAGGTTGGGAGTGCCCCATATGGGTCTCCTGACCCCAGGATCTATCCATAGCTGATGAAAAATTACTTGACCTCAGCCAGATTCTAAAATATTAAATAATAGTATATAATAAAAAAGCAGATGGGTAGATAGAATCAACAAAGATGCTATGGAGCTGAGTGCAGATAAATGGAAAGAAATAGCCCAAGACAGGCAGAGATGAAGCAGGCTTGTTATGGCGGCTAAAGATCTACATGGTCTGTAATGCCAACAGAAAAAAAAATATATATATATATATACATACTTTTTTTTGTTACTAAAATATAAAATCATAAATAAAATAAAGAATTTATGAGATGACACGTGTTTTTACATAAGAAATGCAACAAAGTGGAACATGATAGGAAAATATAAATTTTGAATTTCAACATATATGAGTGTTTTTAATTATATAAATGATTCTACAAATAATAATGCAAGAAAAATTAACAAAAAATATTGTAAACAACTGTAATATGGAAAATTTGTTTTCAAACTTGAAAAAGCCGAAACATTGTCATTCTAAAATATGGATTGGAAATAAAAACATTATTTATTGAAGGAAACTAGTCGACTGTTCTACATATCATGGGGGATGAATATTCAGGACTCAGTCATTATAAAAAATTTTTTATTTGTGCCGACGTTACAACCCAAACATGTGGGTTATCATCAGGGCGTGGTTCGAGCACTGATGATGACCCACATGTTTAGGTTGAAACGTCGGCACAAATAAAAAATTTTTTATAATGACTGCGTCCTAAATATTCATCAGCCAAAAATCATTATTTGTGTACTATTGGCTTAATGGAGTATAAACTGAGATAATGATAATTAATTCCTTCTTTTTCTGTGTGGCTTGGTGTGGTATTGTGGTTATAGAGTTATATTGTATTATATTATTAGATTGTTTTATGTTCTGTTGTATTATATTATATTATGTTATGTTATATTATTTGATGGATGGTATTCTTTGCTGATTAATCTGTTTGTGTAGATAGAACATATATAAATATATATATATTTTTTTTTTTTTTTTTCTGTTGCCGCAACAGACCTTGAAGATCTTTGACCGCGAGTGTGGTCTCCTAGACCAGATCCCGATCCCCAATTTAAAGTACGGGGTAGGGTCATCAATCCTAAGTCCGGTTGGTGTGAGTTGCCTCCAGTAGCCTAACGGGCCTCACATACCTGTGGGGTGGAGGATCTTGGGCAGCATGGCTTTCCTTGGTGGACGGTCAACCATCAAAGTTTAGCAACCCCACATTCGGGGTTGCTAAACTTTGATTACCTACCGCAGGACCCTTAGCCCGCAAGGCTACCCCAGCCCCTATATATATATATATATATATATATATATATATATATATATATATAGTATAAAAGAATACTTTGATTCAAGTGGAATTAATTAATTTATTTACTAATGTTATATTATAATAATCACAATGTGCGTACCATTCCATTTTTACTTTGATTTCAGTATTGGAAATTAATTTATTAATATTATATTGTAATAATCAAAATGTGTTTATCCACTCCATTTGTGTTTGTATGGGACCAATCCCCAAAACAAATAAGTATATGTTCATTTCTATTCAATTCCTTCTTTTTCTATAAATTAATTAGCAAAATGAATGAATAGTGTATCACAACGAAAGTTCCCACCATTTTTTTTTTTTTAATTTGATAGTAGTTTTCTAAATTTAATACCCTTTTAATTGTTTGGGATTAACATAATTAATTCATGTCATTCTCACATCTCAGAACTATAAAGTGGAATACTTCCTATGATTTTTAGGTACAAGAATCTGCTGTAGTCAATGGAAATCATGAATCTCCGAAGAAATCAAAGACAGCCCCTCCAAAGAAGTTGGGGACGGCACAGTCACCACTCAAATCACCAAATAAACCTCTTCCAAAAACACCAGAAACTCCTGGTTCTGCTGATAAAAAAAGTAATATCACACAAAATTATTTTTCAAGTTATAAATTATATTATTCTTATAAAAATATTCATGCGAAATAGCTATGTATTCATTATATAATCAAATGAATGATATTGTCTAATGCATCCAATCCACAACATTCATTTAAGAGATTAACTAATCCCTGACTGGGCCTATTCAATAGAGATGGGACTTCCTTCGTAGGGACTTTTGTCAATAAATTTGGAACAGATAACCTCAGAAGCAGTGTCTTGCAAAAATATAGAATAAATAGAGAGTACAGAAAATGGAGTCATCCTTAGAGCATTCACCAAACAAGGATCCAAAAGGATCAAACAATCTATACCGTGTTAAATACATTATTCAACCAAATAGTCTTTTAATAATTTTTCATACCAAAACTTAGCAACCAACAGTCTATTAATCTTTTTTTTTTATTGCCAATGCTTACCAAATGGTCACCTATTGGCTTCTGGTTGTCAACTGAGCCAGTCATCAATGAGTGGTAATCACAATCATTAATGGTAAAAAAAAATCTATGTAACATTATTCAGTTGGAATAGTTATTACATAAGTGTTAAACTGGAAATATTTATAATACCAACCCTGTTTAAAAATAAGATTTTAAAAAATGTATTAAAACACAAAATTAATGTTATATGGTAAAACCATTTCCAGGCCAAATTTCATAACTCAAATTCAATAAGAAACCAAAGGCAGGACTTTTGTCTGTATCTAAAAACATTCGAATCACAGTACATCATATTTTAAGGTTACCTTAAAAAGAAATAATCCAAACAGAGTAATTGCATTTATTTTTTTAGTCTAATAATATGCCAATGAAGTAACTCTGTACTTAAAAACAACTAAATAATGATTATTGTTATTTTTACACATAGTTTCTGTTATCTTATTTTTTAAAAATTGTTTAATTTACAAAAGTTTCATTCTTAAAAAGAATTGATCTTATACAAATCAAGTCAGGAAATAAAAGTAGATTTACTACAACAGATGAAAATTGAATTAGGTTTAACATTAGATGGAAAATTTAATTATATGTTTATTGTTAATTTATTTAGTGATTAAATAATATAATAATATACTTAAATAATCATGAGAAACATTAAATTGTAATGAAAACATTTTTAAGAAGAATCATAATTCATTACATTGAATTATTGGATTTATTTGTAATAAAGTGTACTTATTATCTTTGCACTAAACCATGGAACATGTCCACAAGCATATTATAATAACATTGCTACACCCATAGCTGAAGAAGTGCATTATATGGGACTTAACCTGGACAAGCGACATCATACTACATTGAAAAGGAAACAACTGTTCACATGATAGGGATTATTATCAAGATTACTTGACAGATGCTCCAAATTATCTTTAACTAACAAACTTACCATTTACAAATTACTTTTAAAACCTTTATGGACTTACAGGGTAGAGCTATGGGGGGGGGGGAGACCGCAAAAGCCTCTTAAACTTTTCAATCAAAAGTATTGAGAAAAATAACAGACACACCGTTCTGTGTGATAAACGACTTACTATATAAATACTTGGACGTCCAAACGGTTTCAGCCACTGTAGTACAGTACTATAAACACTTTCTCTAGAAACTGACATACAACACAAACCTATTACATCCCACCCTGAAGACTTTTGAAGCGGTGGTCCAGAGATTTTCTTAATTAATATGTAATATAAACAGATTTGGTTATTGCAGATGGCAGAAATTGCCGGAATTATACTTGTTTAAATAAATAATAATAATGATTTGTAATACCTTTTTATTTTCACAACTATTTTAGAAGTTCCCATGAATAAAGTGCAAGTAGGAGCAGCACCTTCACCCAATTTGAAGAGCGTTAAGTCCAAGATTGGATCTCTGGAAAATGCAAAGCATAAACCAGGAGGGGGCCATGTAAAAATTGAACATAGGAAGCTAAATTTCAATGTTGCACCAAAAATTGAGGCAAAGAATGATACTTACACTCCAGGAGGAGGCGATAAGAAGGTATTTCTTTTATATACTACATGTAAAATTAATTTAAAATTTTGTTTCAACTAATGAACGAGAGTTCTTAAGCATTATCATTTCTTTAAAAGTATCTGCTATCATGCTATAAATAGGTTAACATGATATCTATGAATTTCCTTGTTTTATACATATTAGATACTTTTTAATTTGAGAGGGAGAGAATGTTTATGAAATCTATTTCCCACCATTGGCACAATCATCAGTAGATAATGACAATAATTTTAAAAAAAAAATTGATCTAACTAAAAGTCACATACAAGATGGCAAAATTTATTATTAGAAGATATATTTCCTTCAGTCAACTAACTCTTTGTTTTTATTGAAAATTTAAAATTACATTTTACACTATGGTCATCAACAATTCTCTTTTGTGGCTTTCAAAAACCATCAAGTAAATAATTTATGATAAATGAAGGTAATGAATTTAAACCAGTTAGATTATTCTTAATACAAAAACATTGTCTCAGTTCAAGAGTTTCTACATAATGTATTAGCTATCCTTAATCAAAATTAACCTCCTAACATTCTGAACCAAATAAAGTAATATTAGGACCCCGCCCACACCCCAGGCATTCAGCCATCATGACCTCAACATTATTTTTTTTTTTCTTTTTCTAAAAAACATTAATATCATTTTAATGTATTCTTCACATACCAGCTAAATATGAAGTTAAAATAATTATAAAAAGGGCTTACTTTTTAAATCCTTCAAAAAATAACTTTGTTTTGGTTTTATTTCATAATCCTCTAGCTGTTTAAAATATTAACTTCACGAGGGTTAACATAAGAATGAAATATGCCAATAGAATATAATTTGTAATAGGCATTAGTGTTAGCATTTATTTTCAAACTTAACTTATAAATTGGAATATTTTTTTTCAAAGATACAACAGGTAAAACTCCAGTGGAATGCAAAACCAAAGGTTGGTTCACTAGACAATGCTGCACATAAACCTGGTGGAGGAGATAAAAAAATAGAATCAGTAAAATTAGACTTCAAAGAGAAAGCCAAACCTAAGGTTGGATCAAAGGACAACATAAAGCATGTTGCTGGAGGGGGAACAGTGAAGGTAAAATAAGTACTAAAGATTCGCCTTATTTAAAATATATAAACAAAATATTAATTAGTTCAGCATGTGATTAGATTTCTCATTGTTAGGAATTAAAGGCAGTAGCATGTTCTTTGAATATAAATTATGCTACTTTATAAAACAACAAAAAATGAAAACTATATTTTCATAGAAATGCAATTTTTTTTTTCAAAATTATAACAAAGCACATAGTATTGATGGTAGCATGCATGACCTGTAACAAAAAAAGTTTTTTTCTGATTTTTATCAATGATGAGAAATATAATTTTAGCTGAATCCTTAGGCACAGGGGTTCCCAAATTAATGAGTCAATTTTTTTTTAATCCTGAAAAGAGAAATAATAAGGAATACATTCAACAAGATCATAAAATAGATTTATATAAATTGAATCCCAACCTTGCAAATATCGTTATAAAAAAATTATAGAATTAAAAGACAAATTCTTCTGTTTATTTATTTGATGAAGCATAATCAGATATAAAAATGAACAGTTTTCAATTATTTTTCTTTTACGTTTTTGACAGCAACTTCGAGAGGGGAAATGACATTTCATTATTTGTTCTGTTCAAATAATGAACTTTTCAATCAAATAATAATTTTTGTCTCTGCAATCTTTCGCAGCCTATTACTTATTGAGACATCAAATGACACCCATTAAAAATACAATTATGACTTAAAATAAGAAAAACATGTTTGAGTACTTCCTTCAAAAGGATTTTGAATGAATTCCTAAACAATAATTTCAATATCTTGCACCAGAATAACAATATTCAAGATTTTGGAGAAATTGGGCCTCTTGTTAATTACTCAATGAAGTTCAAAAACTTCACTTTTAACTGCACTTTATGTGAAACCGTGATGTCCGACAGAATTAAGGTGCCTCAACACTTTCGGCTATCACAATTTCACCTTAGTAACCTCGACTCTAATGATTGCAAATCTAGCCTGGGCTGGTTGAAATTTATTTTGTGGCATTTGCATAGAATGAATCTCTACCTTCCCACTCTAATTAGAATAGGTTAGTAACCTGTAGATAACATATGTATTTTTTTTAATATTTTTAATTAAGCACATAACTATCCTAGAAAAACTAATTATTTTTTTGACTCATATTAAGCCATATTTGGGAACCCCTGCTTTAAAAAAAATTTCGTTGTTACTATATTTTTACTAATTCAAAATATGTAACAAAATTCATTGATCAATTGTTAAAATGATGAAAACTTGTTTCTCGCACTTGCTCAAAGCTTTAGTGTAAATTCTGATTTTGAGAAACATTATTAGATCATAAGTAGTTTTTATTTCATCGTGTTCTTAAATTATTGAAAAGTTCAAATATAAAATACATAAACTTACTTTGATCAATTAAAACAGATTAAAAAAAATGCACTTAGAATTAAAATTGGCTCTGAATGTATATTAAAAAACAAAATAAAATATGAATACTTTACAGCACACAAATTGTTTTTCTCTTACAAGATGTTTCGATAACACTGATGGTCCCCAATGTATATCTTACATAAAAAATAAAAATAAATAGTAATAGTATCAATTATTATTAGTAATATTTTCGTAGTACTGAGTCTATAAAACTTTGACAACAGAATTATAGTTGCTCACTTTTTCTTGATTTCATCTTTATAAACTGCATTCAACTTATATAACCCTGCTAGGAGTTTAAAAAAATTTATTATTTTTAATTGTTTACTCCTTTATTAGCTTCACAATCATGTTAGGATTAATTGAAGAGAAGTTGGTTGGGGTGTTCAATCAAAAATACAAAGTAAAAATAAATAAATGGTATTTATTTTTATTTTTGCCATTTTGGCCTTAAATTCAGGATTTATCAGGGCTGATCTTATGAAAGCTTCCTTTAAGAACTTTATAGTTTCCCATAAGAACATTGATCTTACGGGAACCTTTCTTGAGATCAGTCCTGATAAAGACTGAATTTGGGACAAAAATAAAAATAAATACCATTTATTTATATTTACTTTATATTTTTGACTGAACACCTCAACCAACTTCTCTTCAATCATTCACTACAGTCAACCATCAATCAAGGAGTAATTAAATGAGATTCTGAATTTTTTTTTCTTTGTGTGATTTTGCCATTACTTGGGATGATTTTTTCCTCTAAAACTGAATGGTTTTTAAAGCATGATATAAGTTTGAACTTTGTTGTCGTTTTTCCTTTTTCTAATCTCTAAAGGCAGTACAAACAAATAATTTTTTGAATGAGCTTTACATTATTTTTATTAGAAATAATTAGAGATAAGAATGTGCTCATAATAGAAATGCTTTGTGATTGTGATTTTAATAACATTGTTTAGAATTCTGACGAACATCTAGATGGAAATGAGTGTGACGTAAGTACCCAGTAATTCAACACATAATGGCACCTGTGTCCAGTTTCTAGGATTTTAGATGTCAGTGTATGTAAATGAATGTTTACAACTAGGTCCTGAGAATTGTATATTCTACATTGCTTTTATGCTAGTCTAACCCATGTTTAGTAAGGATTTTGTAAAAATTATAATTTTGGAATTTCTAAATTACTATACAAAACCTCGATCCCATATAAACTTTGATGTATTATTTTAAAATTTTATTGATGTTGTAGGATCCGTTTCAAAACTGTAAATAGTTTCAATAATTATACAGTAAACTTTTTCTTATCTGGTATTCATTTGACTGGCTGGCTCAATCCATAGAACGATTAAAATTTAAAATTAAAATAAATAAAATTTAATGTTTTCTTTTGTTTCAAATTTCTGAGAATGAACATGGTGTGGCTATGCAGAACAAAACAGAGTTAGCATGAAAATAAAATGAAACGACTGATTTATTTATTGTATAGAATTTTACCCATACTTTAACTTATTTTTTAAAATTTATAGTTTGAAATTATAATTATAATACAAATATTACTCATAAGTTGATTTAAAATAATATAATGTTAAATTAATTTATTTGATAAATGTTATCTATAAAGAATGAATGTCTTTTCCTTTGCTTAATTAAATTTCATTCTAAATAATTGATGAATTCTCTTATCTTTCAAATGTTTGTTGAGAAAATACCCAATGAGGGACAGTTTACTGTATATTGCATCCTTTTTAAAATTGTAACTAATCAATCAACTAAATTTAAAATAATTGATAATCTAATTCAAATATCTTTTTGTGATCTAACACAATGTCTTAATCTATTTAATTAAGTCTATATTCATATGTTTGTTGAAATACGGAATGCACAAAGCTTTTAGTAAATATATAATTTACAATGTATTTTAAGTAAGAGAATAAATATACAAGTAATTATAAAAATTTCAGTCATGTATGTTTAATTTATAAGAGACTAATATATTATCATAACAATTTATTGTATACATTAAAAAAAATTAGTATCATTGTAAATCACAAAGACAAAAGATAACATAAGATTAATCAAATAAATATATTCTTTTTTTATAGTACATATTTAGTTTATGGCACCCTCACCCTCATTCAATTAGTATTGTGCTTTTTTCATAGTTAGTTTTCATAGAAAATGCTTAATGCTTATGATTTTATTTAGCTCATGCACAATACACAATTAAGTCCATAATTATTAATAAGTATTTTTTTATAAACACTCAAGATGAAGAAAAGTTTTCAAAAATAAATAAATGGTTTGTATCTTGTAAGTATTTTAATTTTGTGAATGCTTCATGTTTTGATACTGTAATGATTGTTCGATCATTATGAATGAAATTATTCTCTTCAGTAAACATAGTTCCTTATTTTATGCGTGGTTTAACAAAGATAAACCACTTTCTTTTTTACCACACTCCTCCCGATGATCTTCTTCAATTATATTCATGATCTATTACTTGATGTATAATTTTAATATAAATCTTTAAATTACATGTTTTCATTTTCTTAAGGATATAATAATAACGAAACATTAGAAAAAAAATTAATATCAGGTTTTATTCAGTCATGTTAATCTATTTTATAAAATTTATTAAACATTAGGTTTTACAAATATTTCCAACGTGAACTGATTTCAAGTATCAAATTTTATTAATTATAATTAGCTACAGTATATTGAACTTAGCCCAAATGAGAAGTAAAATAAAAGAAGAACATCATTCAAGAATTCCTAATTACATCTAATTGATGTTTGGATTGTTAAAATACGTCAATGTAAGTAATTAATATGATTTATTTCCTGCATGATTGGTTTCTTTGAAAAACTCCTAATATTAATAAAAATTGCATGAAATGTTTTATTATTTATTTATTTATTTTTTCACTTGTTACAAAAGATATTTATGTTATTTCAGATAAATTACTCTATTTCCTAACTATTCTATTACAATCCTTGTTGTAGAACTTTTATCCGTCTCTACTGTTTTAGTTCATTTCTCCAAATTAATTCAACCACCATATAGTCCTATCATTAATACCTAAATATATATGTAGAGTAATATCAATAGGTTATACATTTCAACTTCCTATTACAACCTACAAGCCTTTTTTTTTCATGGTTTCCTATATATAAATCAAATAGATTCTTTTTCTTTTAATCTTTAACTTTTTATTTATTTTAACATGCTAACGGGTGGAAGCATAGGACAAACAGTTTACATTATTTAAATTTCTACCCAAACCCAAATATACATTAATAGGAAAAAAAATAATGATATATAAAGTATTAAAATAAATAAAATATATATAAGAAAACATCAAAAATTAAATAAAATATAGAGCCAAAGAAACTTATTTTGATATAATTAGATGACATTCAGAGTGTCAAAGATATTCAGGCTTTATGTTTGTCATTATTTTAAGTATACAAGTTACTAATTTATTTACAACTAACTGATGTACCCGTCGTTGACAGGTGTATAGTTAAGATTTTAGAATCTTTTTTTGAGATGGATTTTGTATTATGGAGGGGATTCAAATTTAATTTCATAAAACTGGGGGAGGGGGGGTTGTTTTGAAATTTTTTATGGCGGGGCTTATGGAAGTCAACGTTTTGCAATAGCCATAATAAAAACTTTGTTATTCGGCTATTTGTTTAGGTGCCACACAACCAAACCGGCCACCACCAATCCATTAAAATTTTTTAAGTGATTAATTTTCATTTATGATGAAGCAAGGAGATTGTGGAGTCCATCGAAATAATCAAAAAAGGATTGTAGTCTCTCCACTTCTTTAAACTCTGCTGAACTTATCGCTGATAAAAGAACCAAAATAACATTTGACATTGAGTCACCTACATCCGTGTAAAATGAGTACACGCAAGTAAGGGGAGGACAGAAAATAAAAATATATATGTGTGTGTATTTATAAAAATAATGAACTGTTAACTATATAAGAACTACACTCATTTAATCCCCCCTAAAAAGTTTATTAATTTGTTACTTTGGACAAAAAATATTTTCCTTCTAACACATGATCAATACCAATATAATAGTAAAATATTAAAGATATTAATGGGTACAGTGATCAGATATAAAATATTAAAACTTGTAACAAAATCATGCACTTCTAAATGATACCTATATCTATAATTTTTTTAAATATATTTAACCAAATAAAAACATTTAATATTCCTTACTTTTAATTATAAGCATTAGTTAACCATAACATTAGTAATCCAGTTTAACTTTAAATACTACAATAATTATTGTCAATATTTGGTTGTACCACATGAAATGTCAATTTTCCAGGAAACCATTCATAAAATATGAATGAATGTGATCAACTATGTCTTGTTTAACTTTAATAAACAATGTTTTGTTTAACTTTATTAGTTAAACAAAAATGTGATTCTTAAAAAAAGTTTATGTTATTTGTCGTTCATAAAAGTTTTTCCTTTCACCTCACTAGTTTTAAACTTAGATTTCCAGAAAATAGTCATAGCTGTAAATGAGAAATAATTGAACAAATTCTAATCTTTAAGATAAGGTTTTTTTTTAACGTTTGACCAATCTCAAATAGGATAATAATTCATCTGATAGAAAATTGGCTTTATGCCACCATTTCAGAATCATTTTAATAACTATATGTATATATTCTATTCATTCATATTTTAATATCACCTCCAAAACTGACATTTGGTACAATACAAGACATTTTTAAATTTTTCATAAAAAATTGATTCTTGATTCTAGATCGAAGATCAAAAATTAGAGCTAAAAGCTCAAAGTAAGGTGGGTTCATTGGATAATGTCAAATATAAGCCAGGTGGAGGTGACAAGAAGATATTTGACGATAAGGAATACCTAAAGCAAATGGCTTCAACAAGCATGGACTCACTCAATCAGGTAAATTTTACATTTTTTCATTCAACATAGACTAGCTCTTTAGTAACAACAATGTCTTGTGATGTTTTGTAAAAGCTTTCATGCATTGCTTATATTCACCTTTCCTTAGTTCCAATTCTTTAGACTTATTTATCATCAAATATTACTCTGTTGAAATCAATTCCTAACATTTTATAATGAATACTACACAATATCTTTGCATATAATTTAAACAAGAGAATAAATCCTTGGTAAAACTGACAATTATTTCTATTAGGGAAGTTTTTGGAGCACCAACAATGATTATAACCTTACTGTTATATCCTTAACAAATTTATTTAAATTTCCTTGAAATTTAATAAAATGAACTTCAGATAAATTAAAAGAGAACGTAAATTTATATTATTATACAGATAAATGTTACTATTTTATGAATCTTGGCCAAAAATTTTCGACTACAGGGTATTCATAGTTCATTCATTTTAGACACTCATACATTTTTTAAAATTATGAAATTTGTCTTGCATGCTATAAACATCAAATTATATTACTTACATCAATAATCCAAGTACTCATAATAACCTACTCAAATACATTTTATGCTTTAAAGAAAAAAAATATATATTTAAGCTAGAGCTTCATGTTGAGTTGGACAAGATAACTAAAAATATTTAAAATTACCTCACTTGACATTTGTGAAACAGCTGAAATTATGCAACATCGTCTAAATAAAAACTAAATTTCTAAGCCCTTAAGAAATTCGAAAACTTAAAACCAGATAACTAGACCAGTTTTAAATTTTTATATCACAGTATATACATTACAATGTGTGAGCAAATCATTTTAAAACTTCAATTAAATAAATCAATCTTGATGATAAAAATAATTGGTGATGTATTATCTATAATATGCTAAATAATCAAAAGATTATGGATCAAAGGACATTAAAATGTGAATATTTTTTCTTCACACAATGTCCGAGTACTGTGCTACTTAGTATGTTAAAGGCAAAGAGCAGTCTTCCAAAAAAATATTCAAATTCAATCCATTCGATTTTATACTCATAGCACAATTAAAATATGCAGAAGTTAAATTTTGGCTGAGACACTTGCAAATATAAAAGTAGTAACAGGTGGTATAACACTTAGACTAGATAGAATAATAAATTTCAATTTATCTATTTTAAATATTCAAATTCATGTTTTGATATGATAAAAAAAAAAATACATTTCACTCATCACTTAAAGAAATGTTTAACTCAAATGCAATCATGATTAACCATTGCTTATTCATAACTTCACATGCTTACAAAAAAATAATTAAACATTTATATTTTTGATTTCTTGTAAGTACTGCACTAGCTTAATAAATTTATTTCACGCTTTTGCTTTTTCCCGCAGAGCCCAGTGCACATGCCCCAAACTGATGAAAGCTAGTTCTCTACATCTGCCTGCTTCCAGAGTCATCCCTACAACATACCTCGGCACAGAGTCGTATTTAAGTTTTAAAAATATGTAACTCAAGCTTTACAATTGAGTATATTTCAGTTTAATAATACATTATATTTGTTCATGACCGTTCTTAAGATACACATATGTCCAAACAAATAATTACTCTGAGAAAATTACAGTGAAACTCTTTAGTAGCTGGTAGCAGAAATTTTTTCAATGCTTCTTAAAGAGGGTTATTCATATCATCAAAGCACAATAAACATAAACAAAGTAACAATTACATAACATATTAAATTTTTATATTCATAAATGATTAATTGAATGCACAAATCTAATTCTAATTAATATCAATTTCTTTAATAAATGGGTTCATAAAGTTAATATATTAGAATTTTAAAAACAATTGTATTAACTTGTTGGTTATTTATTTTCAACAATGAGCCACTGTCATCAATGAAGAAAAACAAAGTTTTTTTTTATAATGAACTATTTGTGATCCATTATAATTAAAATTTTCAAAACGATTAATCAGAAAATACACAATAGAACCTTTTAAGTAATAATAAGTCACTAATAATCTTGATCAACTTCAAAATCTTGGTTGTTTTTGGACAACTTACTATCAAAAGTCATTTCAATGAATTTTTCAGTTTCAAATTTGTAAGAAATTTTCATCATATATCATAATCCTTGAAGTAAATTATAGTTCCAAAAAATTATCAATAAACGTTTTTTTTACATCAGTCAAGTCATATACATACATATATATATATTTACAACTTTTCCTTAATCGACCTTTGAGTATTAAATTTAAACTTAACTATTTAATTGGGAATGAGGTCATTAAATAATTTTAATAAACTATAGAATGTTCATTTCTTCTGTTTATTGACGTTTCGATCCCGATATTTTCTTTTTATTAGTCAACCATGGGATCCTCTTCAAAGCTAGAATTTTAAAAAATAGAGCTTCTATCAGGCCAGGGACACATCGACAGTCTCAGCACCGTCCACTAGCACATATATTAAGCTACAGTATAGAGTATATATAGAGTATATATAGTACATATATAGAGTAGCTTAATATATGTGCTAGTGGACGGTGCTGAGACTGTCGGTGTGTCCCTGGCCTGATCGAAGCTCTCTTTTTTAAAATTCTGGCTTTGAAGAGGATCCCATGGTTGACTAATAAAAAGAAAATACCGGGATCGAAACATCAATAAACAGAAGAAATGAACATTCAATAGTTTATTAAATAATAATTAAATGACCTTATTCCCAATTAAATAGTTAAGTTTAAATATATATATATATATATATATATAATTAATAGTATTACTGAGTTTATTGGTTTTAATTTTGGTTATTATTTCAGTTCCATTATTTATTATTTTAGTTATTGCTTTTTATTTTCCTTGATGGCTATATTTATAATATACAAAATAGTGAACTAAGATATTTACCCCAGACCCATGGAGGGTTGTTAAGTTGCAAAAACAAAATGTTTGCAAATACGCTTGTTTATGACATTAAATATAGTGGATACTGATTTTAAAGGTGTCAGTTAAGAAGAGTTTCAATGTAGTTAATCTTATCAACAAGGCCAAATTTATTCTCACTGATCAATTTTATAACAAAAAAAATTAAACATTAACTTAATGCTTATATATATAAGTGAATGTCGTCTCAATTTTTCAAGCCTGTATCATAAATTGATTAGCTGTCTAATTCACAAGTAAAAAAATTAATATAGAAAAATTATATATATATATATATATATATATATATATATATAGAAATAGAAATAGAAATAGAAATAGAAAAATAATTTTATTCTTATATATATTATTAATTATTATGAACAAAGAACTTAACTATTTTTTTTTAATTTTTATTTAAGATTTTGTCAATAACAGAGAATATAAGTATGTGTACATAGATGGAATTGATATTTGAGATATAGTTTTCAAACTTACCAGTAGTTTAAGTTTGGCACTTTTAAGCTTTACATTTGTCACTATTTTGCCATTCACTGTATTAGATATCTGAAATAATTGTAGATTGTTTTCCTTAAAAAAACTCTAACTCAACACTTTATACAATGGCTATTTGTCGAAAAACATCAATTATCCATTACACGACTACTTTTAATTTTTTTTACTAAATTAGTGACTCCTTCTGTTGTCAATTAACATGTTGATCAACTGTAAAAAAGGAAGAAACCTGAGGCATCTTGTTTAACTGTAATGGCTTAATCTCACACTAACTATTTACGAATTTAGACAATCATTATCCTAAATCCAGTCCATTAATTTGTACAGTTATAGATAGAACGCAGACAAAAAATAAAAACTATATTACTAATTCTTCATAATCAGTTAGCCAATAAAAAAAGTTTTACCAAGTTTCATCAAAACCAGCCAACTAGTAGAAAAGTGGTGTTTCTACTTAAGAAAGGGGAGGGCTGATTTACTAATGCATTTCCAGTCTGTCAAAACGAAACTTTCCTATATTTTAATGGAGACCCTTCTGAGCGAGACTTAAGTAGGGAAATTATACTCAATCCTTGTAAAATGTACTATCTTGATTTTTATTTTTAAGTTTTTGATTTCTTTTACTAACATACTTTCTATTGTGGGTACTAATTTGTAAATTAAATGTCATTTCAACATCAAAAGGATGTAAATTCATTAAGAGGATCCCTCTTAAGTTGTTTAACTATACTATATTGTTGTTTTTGCTTATAGCTGCTTTAGTCTCTAAAAGATTTTGTTAATGCCATTCCATCCCTTACCCAAACATTATTTTTAATCAATCTTTAAGAAAAACCACAATGTTTCATCAAATAACAAACAGATCTGCAATAACAATAACAAACATTTATTTAACTTTTTTCGGAATAGAATTTAAAGAATTATTTTTCGTGTCCTTTCTATAAATATATTTTAACATGCTACAGTAAAGTGTTTCGCTCTTTTCTACTTTAAGCACACCAGTGAATTTTCGAAATGTTTTTGCATTTGGATTAAAATCTAAAAATGAGAACTGCATACTATAAGAATGGAAAATGTTAAGAATTTTAACTTCTATGAAATGAGCTTTTACTAAAAATTGTTTCTTAACGAGAAGCTGTGTTAGAGACACAAAATGGGAAAAAGGGAACAAGTTTGGTTGAACATACATAGGTATTAAAATATCTCAGAAACTATAAATCGGACCTAAAAACTATAAGTGATGGAAATTTTCAACATTTCATCCTATTTCTAATAAGCTATTATTTAAATTTTTATCATATATCATAATCCTTGAAGTAAATTATAGTTCCAAAAAATTATCAATAAACGTTTTTTTTACATCAGTCAAGTCATATACATACATATATATATATTTACAACTTTTCCTTAATCGACCTTTGAGTATTAAATTTAAACTTAACTATTTAATTGGGAATGAGGTCATTAAATAATTTTAATAAACTATAGAATGTTCATTTCTTCTGTTTATTGACGTTTCGATCCCGATATTTTCTTTTTATTAGTCAACCATGGGATCCTCTTCAAAGCTAGAATTTTAAAAAATAGAGCTTCTATCAGGCCAGGGACACATCGACAGTCTCAGCACCGTCCACTAGCACATATATTAAGCTACAGTATAGAGTATATATAGAGTATATATAGAGTATATATAGTACATATATAGAGTAGCTTAATATATGTGCTAGTGGACGGTGCTGAGACTGTCGGTGTGTCCCTGGCCTGATCGAAGCTCTCTTTTTTAAAATTCTGGCTTTGAAGAGGATCCCATGGTTGACTAATAAAAAGAAAATACCGGGATCGAAACATCAATAAACAGAAGAAATGAACATTCAATAGTTTATTAAATAATAATTAAATGACCTTATTCCCAATTAAATAGTTAAGTTTAAATATATATATATATATATATATATATATATATATATATATATATATATATATATATATATATATAATTAATAGTATTACTGAGTTTATTGGTTTTAATTTTGGTTATTATTTCAGTTCCATTATTTATTATTTTAGTTATTGCTTTTTATTTTCCTTGATGGCTATATTTATAATATACAAAATAGTGAACTAAGATATTTACCCCAGACCCATGGAGGGTTGTTAAGTTGCAAAAACAAAATGTTTGCAAATACGCTTGTTTATGACATTAAATATAGTGGATACTGATTTTAAAGGTGTCAGTTAAGAAGAGTTTCAATGTAGTTAATCTTATCAACAAGGCCAAATTTATTCTCACTGATCAATTTTATAACAAAAAAAATTAAACATTAACTTAATGCTTATATATATAAGTGAATGTCGTCTCAATTTTTCAAGCCTGTATCATAAATTGATTAGCTGTCTAATTCACAAGTAAAAAAATTAATATAGAAAAATTATATATATATATATATATATATATATATATATATATATATATATATATATATATATATATATATATATATAGAAATAGAAATAGAAATAGAAATATGCGATGTCATATATATCATAATGCGATGCCATGTTAGAGAGACAGAAAGGGAAAAATAGTATCAAAAACGAAATGATAACAAGCTTTGTTGAATATATGGATTAAAATGTTTCAGAAACTAGAAATCGGACCTGCATACTGTAAGAACGGGAAATTTTCAGCATTCCATCCCCTTTGTAATGAGCTTTTATTCAAAATTGTATTTTAACGCAATGCTGTGTTAGAGGCTAGAGAGGAAAAAAATATAGCGTCACGGGAGTGGGAAAGTAAAAAAGAGCCAAGTTTTTCTTACAATACCATTACTAGAAAGTAAATGTATGTCATAATCATGCACAGAGCTTAATTTTCAACTTTTTTACTTTGTCAATTGTTAGGCAAGCTTTTTCATGCAGGTAATAAAAAAATAATGTACTTAAAATTAAAAATGTCTGTGCTTTATAAAATTTTGACAAGAAAAAAATTTGGCTCATGACTTAAATCCATGTGACAGGAGGCATAACACTCATTACTGTTATATCTTTTGTAATATTATCAATGTTTGTGAGGATTGATACCTAGATGGTCTTAACAAACTATCCACTTCTATCAATCATGCATGAGCAAATGTACACATCTTGTTACACATAAGTTTTGAAAATAGCTCATAAAACCTGAAAATAAGTTGGAGAAACGTTGGGGGCTAGAGTACAAGGACAAATGGTCCAGTGCCGATTTCGTAAAATTTCTTTTTTTGTAGTTTTGCACAGCATGTCAAAATAAACAACTAAAACATTAAATATGTTTTATTTTCCTTAGGCATTAGTAGTTTGCATTTATGTATCCAAGAAATGGTGAGGAAGATACTATCCTACATGGCAGACTTTTTTTTTTTTAACAGAATTAAATCAGCTTTGGTTACTCCTCTTAAGTAAAAATCTATAATGAAATTATAACTAAATTTGATTGGATAATTGAAGTTTTTCCAGAGTTTAACCATTTGAACACTTTCATAAATACAATTAGTCTGGAACAATAAATACAAATCATGATTGGCAAAGTAATCTTTTCAAAACATACTCTGTGAAAAAAACAAATTTAAAGAAACTACTAAGATTCACTTCTAATTGTCATCTTTTAAAATACAAATATTGAAACTTCTAATATCAACAAATTTACAATTATTTATTACATGACCAACACCAATTAGAATGGGTTAATAAATTAAGCTTGTTATTAATTTTTGTTGTTAAACTATAACACAATAATCCACCGAAATATTGTTTTATAAAAAATACTCCAATTTCTAATATTTATCTTTCCTATTTGCTATCAAGATTGTTGAAAAATCTAAATGCATGTCGCATGTTGTAGTAAATAATTAATGTCATGTTGTTTGCTGAATTCTTGTTCATTAATAAAAATTATTTATATAAGTTGTATTTTTAAGTGCTGAATTTATACCTTTATAAAAAATGTTTCTCAAAATAAATTATTATCAGTTAAAGGTTTTTTTTTTTTTTTTTAATTACCACTTATTCAACACACATAAATTTAATGCATAAACATGCAGTAACTTTTTTAGAGAAAGTTCTCTTTTTTGTCTCTAAAAAAAAAAAAAAAAATGTACATGTTCAGTTACCTTGCTTTGGGCATTGTATATCAATATTTCAATTGCCACCATTTTCAATTTCAGGAAAGGAAGAAGAGATCCAGATGTAATTCAACATCCTCACAAGACTCAAAATATAAGTCTGACGAAAAATTAGGATCTAGATTGTCACTAAAATCTGAGGGGCAAAAAGATCAGCCCAAGGAAAAATCACCACAGCGACCTACTGACCAAAATTCCAATCAGGTCAATGATAAAAATGCACCTGAATCCCAATCAAAGTCCTCTAAAAGTGCAGAACAACCAAGTGCAACAAAAATAAAAACTAATGGATTAAACTATCAAGGGGTTAGTAAAGATGCTAATGGAAATGGAAAAACTCAAGAAACATACAAAGACGAGGTCAGAAATGATGAAACAAAGATAAAGAATGAAATATATGAACAACAATCTTCTATTAATAAACAACCATCAACAACTCCTTTATCAACAGATGATAAAAAGCCACCGATGAAACCAATCGCTCAACCTTCTCAAAATCCAACAGCAGTTCAGGGCAAGGACCCATTACCAAACTTTGGAGTAAATGATTCAGTTAATATTTCAAACCAAATTAGACCGCCTGTTCCAAGCATGGGTAGGTCGCAAATTAGCCCTCCAAGTCAAACCCCACAAAAGAATATTAGTGGTCTTCCACCAAATGTTCGCCTAGCCAAAGATCTCATTAAAGAGGCATCCATTAATGATGGCATCGTAGAAAAGTCGCTGACAGAGAAAACTGAAAAAGAATCAAGACCTATTGATTCAACCAGACACACTAATGTAAAATAAATTTAGATGAAAAAATATATAAGTATAAAAAGTATTAAATTAATAAAGAGTAACAAAAATCTCCTGCTACCTTACAAAATTGTATAGCAGGGTTACCAACAAGAAATAAGTCTTTGGGCGACAAAAGTAATATCCACTCACAGTCATGTACTGGTAACTGTGAATATTAACTGATTGTATAATTTTCTTGTATTTTTATCATAAAATATTCCATTAATACATATTTATAATTATGGAAAATATTTTTTCAATTTCAAATTTAAATAACAGTCTATATTTAAACAATTTTTATAACCTGGTCCACTGTTCTAAACGTCATGCATATCAACTCTACTTAAAAGTTTAAAAATTAGTTGTAAGAACAGAAACTTGGAAGACCATTATTACCAAAAATATTAATATTACAGTGCCTCCCAAATGGACATGTAAGAAAAAAGAAAAACTGGACCATATTTCAATTGATTTTATTAAAATTGTTTTACAATCTTTTTATTAAAAATAAAATGCAAAACATTACTAGATGAGAATGAAAAATTCATAACAAATAAATTGTAATTTTAAAGACTTAAGACATGTAATTTTTAGGTTATATTCAGATTTTCTTGTCAGTGTTACACAATGTATCAGTAATCTTGGGTAATCAAATACTAAGTACAAAAGTAGTTTTTAAAACAATAAATTATTAAAGGAATTGTTTTCTGAAATTGATGTAAATAAATGTGATTGCAAATCAAACTAAAAAGTACTAAAGATGATTCTGTATTAATATTTAGACAAATTTTAACACCAGTTATAACATAAAAATTTCTAAACATCATATTCTTTAAATTGCTAAAGTGCTTTTATTTTTCAAAGTAGATTCAACTATAAATCACAAATTCTTACCACTAGAAAAGCAAGATCAAATCATTAATAATTACAGGAATGCAATTGATGGAAAAGATTTTATACTTTGTTTGGACTCTGAACCATGGATACCGAGACTAACTTTGATGATAATATATTTTGGAAGATGGATTTAATAACAATAAATCATTTTGATTATTAATCAATACAAATTAAAATTGAATTATTTGAAATAAACATTTTAACTACAGTTGAACCTCTTTTGCCCAGCAAATCTTGTCTGAAAATACTTCTACTGCATGAATATTTTATATGAACAACAGCTGATGACTTAGGCTAATTCATAAAAGAGAGTATTCAATACAGGCTGGATTGACTTTATTCAATGTTTGATCAAAAATTGGGGTTTAAATTAGATTAGTGAGGGCAAGGGTTCAGAAATAGTTTCAGTTTGTGAATAAGAGACCCATATCATTAAACATCCAAAATGCACTGAAAGTAGCAAATAAATTTATGATTATTTATTTTTTAATAAGTTATAAGCTCAGGTATTCTGATGCATCATACTTCATAATCGTCTAACAACTCAGGGATTATTACCAACATTTACTTTAATAAGGTTCAATATATATTAAGAGTAGATGATTGATTAATAGTCATGATGACTAAGAGTCATATCTATGGACTATAGGGAAGACAACAAACACATTATTATTTAAAATATGAAAATTTATATACTCTACTTCAAATAGTAGTGATTAAGAGAGCACAGACGGTTAAAAATGTGACTTGAGAGGTTCAATTGCAATTATAAATAAAGCAAATAAGTAAAACAAGGAATCACATATTTTAGTCAATTTTAAGCTTTGAATGTTCAGTGTCTAAACAGTTCTAAGAATCAATGCATTGGAGGAATAAAAACTTTGAACAATTCTTAAGCAACTGTTTTATTCAATATGAATGTAAAAACAACACTAAAGCTTGTAACAAACTGTCAAGACAGATAAATAATAATGTGTAGTTTTAATTAAAAAATATATATTTTAAATTGAGATCTCTATAAAAATTGATCAACTCCAATTTATATACGAGATGATGTACATATATATTCAAAGGAATGTCTTATATTATTCTATTGATAGAATAATTTTTAAAATGACTCATTCCAACAAATTCATACAGTTTAATAAAGTTACATAAAAAATCAACATACTCAATGCCTTCATTTTGACAAGGTAATTTCACTGAAAGTGGAATAGTTGAGATCATTATTTTTATTTTATTTCATTTATTAGAAATAAAAAGTTACTTATATTGCTGATGTAGAATAAATGCCTTTTTTTTTGCATTTTTTTTTTTATTATCCTCATTTTATCATTCTGTATTCCTTATATCCTTTTAATACATTTGTAAAAATCTGGAATGAAAAATAGAAATAGTTTAATAAAACAAGTATTACTTCTTATTTTATTCCATTATTTATTTATTAAATTGACAAACTATGTATTAACATAAAAATACAACTAGTAAGTATAAACAGAAAAGTATAATGACATGGAAAGACTTATAGAGCTGCTTTAAGGATTAAAATAGCTACTCTGAGGGAAGAATATTCTGAAAATGTTCCTCAAAACTTTTTTGTAGAAGCTTGATATAATGATGGCGAATCAACTGTAACCCGAGATAAATGAAAGATAAATACTTTTCTTTAAATACAAATTTTACACAAAGAATTTTTGCTTCCTCACTACCGAAGGCAGAGAAGCGTTGTATTCGTACGAGGCTAAAAAAAATTTTGTGCTCAAAATCGAAAATATCCACTCGCATTTTACGTTTCAGACATAAAGGATCAAATTTGGATCGGCATGTCTGTCTGTAGTCAAATCGATGTGACAGGCATATCACCTACTACCTTTTATCCGATTTTCATGAAATTTCCAGGATTGTAAGGGTTGGTGTCTATATGGTCCCATATCATCATATTTATCAAATTCCATCCAGCACTTCCTCTTGTGCAAGCGTAAATTTATTTTCATAGATATGCCAATATTCCAGAAACGGCTTATTTGATTTGGCTGAAAGTTGAAAGAAAGGTGGGTTGTAAAATAATAATTCTATATCGATTTTATTGAATTCTATCATCTACTTTCTCTTATATATGTGCAAATGCATTTTCCTTGATACGTCTATATCTTTAAAACTGTGTATTCGTTTTGGCTCAAATTTGGAAGGAAGTTAAGTTTACAGATATTTAATTCAATATCAATTTTATCAAATTCTTATCAACTACTCTAAAAAAAAAAGACTTCCGCTTTGGGATCAGTCAACATATTATTTGACACGCCTCTAGTTTGAAAAATGCTTGTTCGATTTGACCCTAACTTCGAGGAAATGAGGAAAATAGTTCAGAAATTGTCAAGTACCAATTTCATTTAATTCCATTTCATTATTAAAATTAATATAAATAACTGTTAAAAATATAATGGCAGTGGAATTTGGAAGGCATTGATCACATGGAATATGGGTTAGGTTAATACAATGTTTATGAAGTTATAACACATATTGTTTGATCAATTCCAAACGTTACTGGCAAGACACTTACTGCCTTCACTTTGATTTCATGTAAATTTGTAAATGTGATTTTCAGTAAATTTTAATTAACTTTTACTTTTTTGGTTATTAAAGAAAGTCTTATTTGTGATTTGTTAATTTCTATTGAAATTCAACCAGCTTGTCGTGGCCTCGTTTTCCTCCTTAAATATCGAAATTGTGTGAACTTCATTCATATTTTTATATTCCAGTTTAATTCAGTTTAGTTCTGACAGAAAATATTGGTCTCATTAACTCCCAACAAACAAAAAGTTTAATTTTTCTAACGGATTTCTTCTTTTATCCATTTCACTAATGAAACATACCTATGAAACCATAGGTATGTTAAACTAATGAAACATACTAATGAAAACATACCTATTAAGTATATATTGCTAATATTAGTGGAAAAGATCCTATATAAAAATTTTTCATTTTTGTTCTATTGGTGTTAAAGGTGACATTTTGTAATATGCAACTGATGTTTGCAGCCTGGCATATTAGTATTTACTGATGAACAAAATTGATGGATATCAAATCCGTGAATGTTAACAAGTTACTGTATTTCCGAAAACAGCTTCTCCCATAGATTTTATTCTTTTACTAAAAATTATAGACTTTGAAATATAGATATCATCTTTCTAATGAAAATGGTGAGGAAGCTACCCTGGCCTTTCTTTGGAAACGTTTTTTAAATTAATTTCAGTTTTATTTATATTCCTAATTTAATTTATATGACATTTGTTAGATTTTGTAAAACACTGGAACTACATTAGGAGTTAACACAAAATCAAATTATTGATTTCCTTTCTGAAATAAAAGTTATTATTATAGTATAAATTAAAGAGTCACAGACACATTTAAAAAATGTTCAAGATCCTTAACATCACTTTATTATTCTTATGGTATAACCTGAACCACTAAAATCCATAAAAATTCAAAAGTTCAGTAAGGAAGTACTGTTTCTTGATAAACGTTTATACAAGGTGTGTAGCCAGCAATGCTAAGTTTATATTTCAGCTCAATGAAGGGTCAGGTAAAAATTTTATAAAAGCTGGGTATTCTTTAGAAAGGTTACCCAATCTCGGAATCAGTTCATAGAGGATATAACAGAATAAATAACATCACTTTAGCATGCACAAGATTTATTATATGTAAATTAAGATAAAAGTAAAATATACATTATTGTTTTTTTTTCAACTTCTATGTGAGATTACAATATTGTTGTGAAATTTTAGAAGTTCACTCCATTCATCAGATGAATGTAAATTTATGTTTTGATGAGGAAGGGATATGCACCATTTAAATTCTTAATAACTTTATTCATATCTGAATATTGATAATAGAGTATATGCACATGTCACAAATTTTTGTGCTAAATAAGTTTATATGAACAAAAATATTGACGATAATAAATAATAATCCTATGTGTTACGAGAGAACTTAGAGAAAGTATAAACAAAATGTATAATCACATTTTAAAAAAATACAACACATCGTTATCATGTAGCAAGATTATGATTTTACAATACTATGGGAGACAGTAATGCTATACAACAAAGACGCCGGGCAATACAGCAGGTTGAGAGAATAATTCTAAACTAGCAATATTTAAACAAATGAAGGGTACTTGTGAAGGATGATGCCGCCTCTATGGACTGCTATCTGCCAATGTTTATAACCTGATAATTGTGATAAGGCACTGATAATCCCTATCCGGCAATGTTTGTAACCTGAACACTGATATATATTATGAGCCATGAGTCTTCATGTATGTGTATATATATATTGCTAGTTTAGAATTATTCTCTCAACCTGCTGTATTGCCCGGCGTCTTTGTTGTATAGCATTACTGTCTCCCATAGTATTGTAAAATCATAATCTTGCTACATGATAACGATGTGTTGCATTTTTTTAAAATGTGGTTATACATTTTGTTTATACTTTCTCTAAGTTCTCTCGTAACACATAGGATTAATATTTATTATCGTCAATATTTTTGTTCATATAAACTTATTTAGCACAAAAATGTGTGACATGTGCATATACTCTATTATCAATATTCAGATATGAATAAAGTTATTAAGAATTTAAATTGTGCATTATAGACTGACTGGCAAAAAATTCCACCCACTTGATTTTTTCATGTTTTCATCTAAAAATATTTCTGCTTTGGATTGGTCTATTGTTTTTAATGAATAAATAGGTAATCTTTTTGTTTGTTTTCAATTAGGAATGTTAATATAGAGGACAATAACCCTTAATCCTTAATTCATTCAATGAAATGATTCTAGATTCCAATGTTTACTTTCTATGGAATCAAAATGTTTATTCAGTATCATTAGTTCAGTGCCGTTTCTTGCAGCACATTTCTTAGTCTCCGGCTTTTAATTTATTCAATATTAAGTTTAAAAATGCCTCTTAGTGCTGAGGATGTTGCACTTGGTGTGGCACTTATTGATGATGGACGTTCCATTAGATATGCAGCTAATGCCATCGGAGTTCCATATGAAACTTTACGAGACGCTTTTTTCAGGAAACTGGGTCTTACAATAGAAGGTCCGGTTCTGGACGGCCTAGGGTAACAGAACCACGGGATGACCAGTTTTTGACGTTGAGAATTTACGAAACCGGCACCTTACCGTTGTTCAAGCGATTCATCAGCTCGAAGAAGTTCGAGGTGTGCAAATTTCTGAACGTACCACTCGGAGAAGATTAAATGAGTATGGATTAATAGCATTTCGTCCAGTAAGAGGACCAGAGTTGACCAGAACTCACAGAGTAACACGGCTGGCTTTTGCTGGAGAACACAGCCATTGGACTATGGACGAACGGAGTGCTGTACTTTTTACAGATGAGTCAAGATTCGCTCTTTGATCTCCAGACAGGTGTGAAAGGGTGTGGAGAAGAAGAAACGAAAGATATGCAGCCTGTAATTTTTCCCAGAGCCAACCTTTCAAATGTGGTTCCTTAATGGTGTGGGCTGGGATTTCAATGGAGCGCCGCACAGAATTGGTTGTTGTTTGTGGAGGGTCTTCGATGACCATTCCCTATGTAGATGAGATTTTGGAACCTCATGCGTTGACTATCCTCAACGAAATCGGCAATCGTTCTATTCTAATGCACGATAATGCACGCCCACATGTCGCCTGCATAGTGCAGACGTTCCTTCAATAGAACAATATTGAGGTTTTAGCCTGGCCTGCAGGTTCTCCAGATTTGAACCCCATTGAGCATTTATGGGATAACCTCGGAAGACATACACTGCAGGACATTGAAAGGGCTCTTCGGGAGGAACAGGCTATCCTCCAGCAAAGGGACATTTCCCGACTGGTGGAAAGTATGCCGAGGCGTCTACAAGAAGTAGTGAAGGCAAGAGGAGGAAACACGCGCTACTAAACGATGATGTAATTAATTTCTTTTAAAATAATAATGGTTCGTTTTTAAATTTTTTTTTCCCTAATCTTTCTTACCCAATCACATTTTGATGTGAAAAATATTATAAAATTCCATAAATACTAAGTATTATCTACAAATACCATGTATTATATACAAATACATTTTTTACAAGTGGGAGAAATATTTTTAGATGAAAACATGAAAAATCAAGTGGATGGAATTTTTTGTTTGTCAGTGTACGTATATATTATATATGTATATATATAATATATATATTTTATAATATGTATATATATTTCTTATTAATATATATATATATATATATATATATATATATATATATATATATATATATATATATTAATAAGAAATATAAATATAATAATAATATAGTAATTTAATAATATAAATAACAACACTTTTATTTTACAACATCCATAAATCATTTCATTTATTTATTTTGGGAGGCAAAATAGCTTAATGCTATTTAAAATAGCGAGGAATGGGTCCTCTTCTCTGTGAGCGCACCGCTACAAAAATTCACATAAATATGAATCGAGGTGTTGCCTCGCAGTTCCACGCTGTTTCTTATTTCTCTACTTAGCTGAGCCCCATAAACGTTCTATATGTTGAGTACGGATCCCGTACCATATGTTATAATGGTGATTCTTCTGGAAATGATTATAATTTGCTTCATTCAGTTGTTGGGTGTTGTATCCTTTCCAACAGTCCGAATAAATGGTGCTTCTCTCTTCTATATTATTTTTAATACATTCTAATAAAGTTCTTGCCTTTCTGTCCTGTATTTTTATAATGAAACACTTATTTTTTTCTCAACAAACTCCGCCAAACATCCATTGTTCAGGGAGAACTCTACCTACATGATCTTTTCGTTTAGAAAAAAGACTCTTGTCTAGTTCAACCACTTTCTCAGGCCCTCCAATTTTCTTTGTTGACCTGTATAACATGTTATGGGCACAAACCTCTCTTAAAAATTTGTTCCACATTACCACACTTTTGTTCAATAGTTTCAGTTGCTCTTCACCCTACCTTATTGTTGTCAAATTATGAGACCATCCATAAATAAATTTTAAAGCGGTTGAAAAGGTAATCTTCGACCCCTCTAACCATGTCCTCTTCCTTATCGATACCTTTTTCTTACAACTCTTACGAAAGCATCTCCAGTACGTCTTCCCGACGAACTTCATTTCATGACCTTCATCACAATATTTCACCAACGCAATTATTGCTGCATCTTGAAAATATTTGATAGCCTCTTTTTCTGAAGACGGCAATTCCCACAATGTAATTACATCCATTTTAATAACGCACAATGAATAAACAAACATATAACAGCTCACACTATATAAAAAAGTAGTTTAAGTGAGGTAACATAACGTAAGATAAGAAGGGAACATAACAAAAGATAAGAAGGTGACGTAACATAAGATAAGAAGGGAGGTTTCGCAGAGGCGACATCGCTCACAAGTACCAAATTAAGTAACATTTTATTTATTGAATTATAAATTAAACACATTTTATTTATTTCATTTATAATCTTTAATCTTAAAATTTATTCATTTTTCATTATTTCCACACTGCCATGGGTAGAAGGTTGACAGCCTCTCTTTAAGGGAATAAAAACGTGTGACTGTCCCTAAATGAGAGGAACATTATAATTTACTAAGGATTCACCTTAGGCACAAGTATACTACACATTGTAATTTAAATATCTTTTAGCAACGTGGACCAATAATATTTTTAAAATTATGAAGACAGAAATCTATAATTTTATATAGAATTTTTACTTGCCAATAAATTTTATTTTTCATCTTGTGGAGATGTTAACTGCATAGACAACCATTGGCATTCATACACAGGCAATCAAAAAATAAAATAATAATAGCTAAACAAATTATTTAAATAATGTCTTGATTGAAACAGACTTAATTAAATTGTCGATTTATTACAAAAATTCACTAGGCATATTTATGATAGAGTTAAACCTTTAAATACATATTAGAAACTTTGATCATGCTTATCGATGGTAAAACTCATTTAGAGCAACAAAATAACACAACTAATATTATATGTCAAAAAGTAATGATAAGAGCACAATGTTTTGATTTCAGAGAGAAAAAATTCATTAAAGTACTTAAGTGATTTAATTTTCTAAAATGTTACTTATGGAGTTTTGGTAATAAAACAACAAAATAATAATTAAATTAGAATAAATTAAACAATACTCACCAAAAAGATACATAAAAAGATAATTTAAAATAAGACATGACTTTTTTTCATCATACTGGAAGAGGAACCAATTTGACATTATCAAAATACTTGTGGTTTAAAGCTACTTTTGCACTAACTCTTTTCTCAGGATCATAGGTAATCATTTTCTGAAAAAATATAACATAAAAAATATTATAATGATAAACACATATTTACATATAATCAAATTACCGGAAGAGTGAATTATAGCAAACATTAACATTAAATAGCAAAACATAACTGACAATAAAGAAAATTTATATTAAACTATTAAATATTAGCGTTAATATAAATTTATTCAAGTAATAAAAGAAATAAAGTGAAATATTGTCTGAGTTGAAGCAAAAGCCACTAGGAACAAAATTTTAAAAAATTCATATTTCACATTCACAATTCATTTAGCGAACCATTATATTTTCAATTGCAAATATTATGCTCAACAGCATATCATAGCATGGATCTTGAGTGACCCCTATATCCTGTACTATTAAAGTTTACTAGCTAAAGTAAAGTTATTCCTAATTTCAGAAGTTAAGTCGTGGGTACGGTCAAAAAATACTATTTTTTATTTTTTTTCTGTTGGCATTACAGACCATGTAGATCTTTTGCCACCTTAAAAAGCCTACTTTATCCCTGCCTGTCTTGGGCTATTTCTGTCAATTTATCTACATGCAGCTCTATTGCACCTTTGTTGATTATATCTATCCATCTGCTTTTTGGCCTTTCATGTGGTCTTTTGACTTCTATTGAGGTATTTGTTGTTACGTAGAGGCTTCCATATGGATTGCTACGAGCTACATGCTCCGCCCATCTTAACCTCCATGCCTTCATATCATGGGATATTGATTGACTAGTTTCTGTAAGCAGTTCTTTATTGGTCTTTCTTCTCCATGTGTTAGTACTCTGATCCCAGATCTCACATTGAGATTTTTCGGGATTTCAATAACTTTAAAAGGGAGAAGAAAGCTCTGTTTGCACTAGTTATACACTGGTCTATATCTGCCGTTGGTCATTCATTGAGGTTATTATGGAGCTGAGGTATTTGAACTTTTCTACTCTTGGGAATGATTTTCCTTCTACGCAGATCTGATATTGGGATGGAATTTACGGCCTATCATATATTTTGTTTTGTCTTCATTTACTTGTAGGCCGATCTGCTCTGCCTATCTTATAAGAGTTGTAGCGAGTTTCTCAATGTCCTCTTAATTACTTCCAAGGACAGCTATATCATCCAAGGATTTTATGATTCATTTCGACGTGAGCCCCTCCATTTTCCTTTAATGTTCCTCTTATTATCTTCTCCAGAGCTAAGTTGAACAATATCGGTGATAGTCCATCTCCTTGCCTTAATCCTGAACTTTGAAGGCTTCAGATACTTCTCCTTGCATTAGGACTCTACAGTTGGGGTCATTTAAACACGCCTTTGTCAACCTCACCAATTTACCAGGAACTTCCAGTTCAGTCATGATTTTCCAAAGACAACTCCCCTCCACAGAATCATAGGCTGCTTTGAAATTGAAAAATAGGGCATGGACGTTCTGAGGTACTTCTTATCAATTTCTGAGTACTTGTTTTAGGATGAAGATCTGGTCTAGCATGCTCCTCCCTTTTCTGAATCCAGCTTGGTTGTGATCTATTATATTCTCATAATACAAATATATCCGGTTTAGTAGAATATTTGTCATTATCTTGTAGGCAAACGGAAGGAGTGCTATGCCTCTGTAATTACTACAAACATACATAGAGCCTTTCTTCAGGATAGAACAGATTAGGCCCATATTCCAGGACTCAGGTATCCTTTCCTCTTCCCATATTTTCTGGATTAGTTGTAGTAGTTTGGCTCTTAAGTCACCTCCTTCACCTTTAAACAATTCTGCTGGCACGTTGTCTATCCCTGGAGCCTTTCGATAGCTATTTCTACATAAAGTATATCTGGTTTTTCAACCTCTTCTGGGTCAAGGTTCTCGGTGTGGTCCATGTCTTCTTTTGTTGTGTTCTCTTGATTGAGGAGTTTCTGGAAATGTTCTTTCCAGATGTTCTATATATTTCCTTTAGATTGAATACACTTTAGTCATAATGTCACCTTTTTCTCGAATTTGTGTATTTTTCGCTTTATATCCTACCCTTTCTTTCCTAATGTCTGCGTATATCTCCAGCCTGTCAGTTGTCTTACTTGATACTGTTGTCTTTCTACGCTACTTGAGAGACGTTCTAAATTATCTGTGACTAATAAACTAACTATTTACAAAGTCCTCATTAAACCACTTTGGACGTATGGGATTGAACTATGGGGAACAGCTAAAAAATCAAGTATAAAAATCATTCAGTCACTCCAGTCAAAAGTCCTTCGGAAAATTGTAGACGCACCCTTTTACGTTTCAAACCTCACGTTACACACTGACCTTAACATTCCTTTCATCACGGCAACTGCCACTGACGGCTTTAATAATTTTCATGACAGACTGACTCTAAATTCCAATCCACTTACTCAAGCTCTATCTACTACCACAAATCCATATAATCCGCCCAGAAGACTGCTGAGGCGCTGGCCAAGAGACATATTGCATTGAGCTACTTGCGGCGTTATCTTTTTTTTTGTGTGTGTGTGTTATGTTATCATGTGTTATCTGACTACTGCTTTATTATTTTTTTTATTTTTTTTTTTTGGTCTTCTTATTTTGTTATTACTATTCTTTTTTTCTTTATGCTATTATTTTTTCTCCTTGATATCATATTTGCTGAATACCGAGGTAGATGGCAAATTTATTGTAAGCCAAGAATATGTTCATTATAATAAATAAATAAATAAATTTGATATATTAAATATTTAAGAAATAAAATAAAATTCAATATAAAAAGAACTAACTTTTCTCTTTAATACAAGTCTTATATTTTAAAACATTTGCAGCTTTATAATTCAAATATAAATAATCACATTGTTGAATACTTCCTTTGAACAATAAATTATCAATAAAAAGATGTCTTCTTTAACTTACACCAAGCAAATCCTTTGTATAGAAATCCAAATCGTCACTAACAAAATCCTCAACTGGTTGAGATTCCCATTTAGGGAACATTGGATTATAATCAGGAAGCTGTGTTACACCAGGCCACATGGCTTCATTAGGTGTTCCAATGGTCCTGAATATTCGAAAAAGTTGATCAATTTCCGAATCGCCAGGAAAGAGAGGTTTCAATGTTAGCTAAACAAAAAAATAATAACAATTATAAATATATATATATATATATATATATATATATATATATATATATATATATATATATGTATATATATATATGCTGACAATAGTGTTTTCTTGAAACATTTATTGCATCGTAATTCATTATTATGTTTTTTTATTTATTAAGTATCCATCATAATTAGTCTTAATTCTATTACTTTTTTTTTAGTACGTAAGAATGATTAGACCTCATCATAATATACTCCTATATTGGTGAGGTAAAATAAAAAATTATATTTCAATTAATTTATCTGTTAAAATAATTATGTTAACAGATATCAGTATCCAACTATATTGTACTTCCATAAACTGGGCTATGGCAGTGTTTCAGACAGAAGCTGTTCCTGTTATATTAACAATTTATAGACTGATGTTTTATGAATACTCTTTTAGATGTCAACGTTTATTAAGACTTAATCATCTTTTAACCCACTTTCAATTGAGAATTCTTATAGGATAATAGGATTTACTAAATCAGTCATTAGTAAGAGGTAAGTTTAACTATAAATAGTATATATAATCCAAATCCATTGGCAATACAACATAAACCAGTAACCAGCACAATGATGAATAGTTCTTTAAGGCAATATCTTAAGCAAAGATATATCAATCAGTCATTCAATATATACATATATAAAAATAAACTTTTCATCGTTTTATGATTAAAAGAATACTTTTAGTTATTATTTTAGTTCTTAGCATCCTCTTGCTAATAATGAACCATATCATTGCTTCAAATATGGAGTTCGTGGTTTAAGTCAGAATTTAGTGGAAATCATTATACTGTAGTTTGGCAGTATCTGTTTATTAAACGCTTATTCAACTCCTCCAACTTGAGTAGGTGAACATCCTATTCTGGCAAGACCAATATGACTGAGATTTATTAATTAGGCATGCCATTAAAGAAAGTCAAACTTCACAGACTCCAGCACCACTTCAGAATATAGTAAAGGTGCTACGTCGATAAACTTGCCACCAGGGGCCCCTTGCCAGTATCTGAAAATGTTGGAATAAGTAGCTGCCTTGAAAAATCAATAAATCAAATGCTCAACACTCTTAACTATTAAATAAGATCAATAAGTAGTAGGTGAGCAGATGGTTGCTGAAAGTCAACATCATACAACCTCTATTTGAATATTAAACAGTGCTGTTATTCATTTATTTGAATACAAACATTCATGAAAACTTTAAATTATTTTAAATTAAGTAAAGACACTTAAAAAGACATTAAAAGTTCATTATAATTAGTTGATAAGTGGGGAACCTTTATATCATTATCATTATTATTATTATCATTAGAGGCCACACTCAAGTTAGGCAATGATAATACATTTATTCATGTTTCACTATAGGTATTTTATTTGTTAAGTAGAAATATTGATTTTCATGTTGTAATCTATATATTTAAATATTAACTACTACCAAAGATGGGATGGATGAATGTCGCACAAAAACTTCAAGAAGCCGCTTGCAGTCCTGAGATCTTAAAAACACTCTCCAAAGAAATAGGTTCACCACCTATGAACTAGGCCATCAATTTCCTCATACTTTTAAATTATAAATACGAAAATGGTGTAAATGAATCATTTAACATGACATTCAACAAAATATATAATATTAATCTCTTAAGAGCATAAATATAGTGGGTGTTTATTCCTAACTCATGTAAATATAAATAGATTATACAACAGTATAAACTAATTTCATAAGGTAAGACTATCAGATAAAAATGTACCTAATATATAAAAACATACTAAAAGAACTAGAAATACTAAACAGAATAATAAATACATTCATATAAAACTTAAGATATTCATACTAGTTCCACAAAGATACAGGCTAGACTCCAAATATCCACTGAAGATGTATAAACTTTAGCTCCAAGCAGTATCTCTGGTGCACGATACCACAGAGTGACAACCTCATGAGTATAATTCCTCAATGGTAGACCAAATGAGCGTGCCAAACCAAAATCAGCAAGTTTTATATGACCATCTGCAGCCAATAGAAGATTCTGGGGTTTTAAATCTCGATGTACTATTAAATGTAAATGGCAATAACAAATGGCACTCAGTAACTGATGCATATAACTCTGAAAAATAAAGTCAGATAATAAAAATGTTTCAGGGTTTATTAGAAAAGAGTTGAAAATTGGATATTTATATTATTAAAAATAAATATATTTTTATGTCTTATAAGGACATGACTAACTTTGATAATGGTCTTCGGTAATTCTTTCCTCCTTCCATCCAAAAATTTTTTTAAATCTTCTAGCATATATTCAAATGCCATAAATAAATTACTATCTTCACTGAAAACAATATCTAAAAGTGCAACTATATTTGGATGTTTTAGTTCTCTTAATAATCCGATTTCCCTCAATGTAGTAGAAGGAATCCCTTCGGATTCCCTAAAAAATAAATCATTTCATGTAATTTAGACAGAAAAAAAATATATTCAAATGCTATAATTCATAAACATATACTAAAAACATTATAAGCATAGTATAGACCAAAAATTAAACTTATAATCTAAGATATGAATACAATATCAACATATAAAATTCATGGAATGGATGTAAATTGATAGCATGTACTCACGCATCTAACTTAATTCTTTTTAATGCAACTATCTTTCCTGTTTCTTTATGTTTTGCTTTATAAACAATACCGTATGTTCCTTCACCAATTTTTTCTAATCTAACATACTTATCCATTACAATAGGAATGTTAGCTGAAATTACAAAAATACTAAAACCAAAACACTTTAAACATCCTCTTACATTACTTCAACCTATCTAATTCTTAAGTACCAAAATTTCAAACAGGTTACAAATTTTACCGCCATAAATGGGGCAAGTCCGATCTGGATTCAGTCATCCCTGTATTGTGGTACTGTTAATAATAGGAATTTTTAGTTTCCTATCCGATGAAAATTAAACATTAAAATTCATAAAAAATTAATTTGAATAATGGTTTTTTTAAACAGCTAAAGTTCCGTAGATATTATCGTTTTGATTACATTTGAAAAAACAAAATGTATTCATTTATTGTTATAATTAATAAATTAAATAAGATAAAATGATCTTATTAGAAGATTTTATACTGTAAGATGTAGAACGATTTGGAATAAGATATTCCAAGTGTGTCGGTTCATAACAAACATTATTAAATATATAAAAATTGTTTATTGTTTATTTGGTGATACCACAGCTTCAATCAATGTATGAAAGTTTTTCTAATTTTTTCCAGTCACTCATCAATAGAACATAGTTCTAGCTTTATCAGAAAAAATTAAAAACTAAAATTTAGAATCAGAACAACTGTGAAGAAATTTCAGAACAACTTCTTAAGCCCCCTTGAAACCAGCATTCAGCATTGCTCCCCGGGCCGTCCCCTGGGTTTTTGGCGTCCTGGGCGAGATTTTACCGGGCGCCTCTCCTACTCCATCCAAAATCTGCTAATTGTCGATCACTCCATGTTTAAATAGAGAAAGAGAGATGAATAGAAATTATGATGATAATAATAACAAAGACTTACGGAATTCGAAGGTTCGATGCCGAAAAAAACAATCGCTGTATACTTACATAATCCCATTCACCAGTCGACGTCCAAATTCACCCCGCAAAATCATTTTTAACGGAATGCTTCCAACTTTGCTTCGATCTATCCCTCAGACGCTTACCAGTAGGCCCTTCGAATACCTCCCTTTCAGAGATTGGTGGATTGATTTGCCGCAAATTTATCCTCTCAATTATACTCACCGAGTTCAAATCACGCAATTCGGTATTGTGTAGCGGTTTTATTTATTTATTTTTTCTTACTAATTTCTACAATATGAAGTTTTCCTCAACCAAACTCCTACTTCGGCAAGTCTCTCCATCTCTGCCGGTCCATCGCATCTTCGTCCGACAGTACCCTACCAGCCATACTCTCCTCCACATTATCCTTCCATTTAACTGGGGGTCTTCTTTTCCTTCTAGCCTCTACCTCCCAATCCATAATTATCTTTGGTATCCTATCTTCGCCGGTTCGTCTCACATCATACCACCTGAAACTCCTTTCTTCCATCATCTCTTATTATATAATTACATAGCTTTATACCAAAGCTTTATACATTAACTTTTTTGTTTTTATAAAAATATTTCTAAATAGTAAAGAATCAAGCATTCCCACTAGCATTACTTAGGTTGCATAATGTTGGGTTAGTGCTTTCTTCTTTCTCCGTACACATATATTTAGTTTTGTTGTAATTTATTTGGAGACCTCCTTGCTCATAATGCTCTAGTATGTTTCTGAATATGTAGCTTTTATCCTCTTCATCTTGTGAAATTAATACCTGCTCATCAGCAAATAATAAATGACATAAATTTTTTCCTCATAACTCGATTGCCCTCTCTCCCCCCTCTGTAGTTTTTTTCTCGTGTAGCTGTCTCTAAGTGAAAATATGGTCAATACAGTTGAGTAGTGGGTACTCTATGGACCAAGGGAGCATCGGTTGGAAGCCATACCTAGCGCGAGCCTTAACCGGCCTCCAACCTAACTCCCTGGACCGGGTACGTCCAAGAAGGATGCAGGCACACAGCCGGTGCCCACGGAATAAGACAAACACTACTACCAAAGCTTCCGTCCACTCGTCCACACATTGTACCAGAAGTTAGCCTGAACAACGTCAAGACTAGCTGAACACTGGTGTCGTGCAGCGAGTGGTCGTAAACACATCGACCACTACGACCGCCACGGCCGAACAGTGCAAGCATTCTCGCCGTCCACCCAAAGCGCCGCCGGGGCTCCGGCGACGTCCCGTAGTATCAATTTGGTCGGGAAGCACTGCTTCCCTGACCTCAGAGCACGATTGGTCTCAGGCTCCGCAATCTTACGATCGCTACGGCTTTACATTGCCTGTACCTCCGCAGTCAATGAGGGACACGACTCAAACCTAAGGGTTCGAGACGATTGACCGTCCCCGTAATATGGTCAATACATAGGATATCTCTATATATATCCTCTGTAATGGCCATGAGGTTGGATTTCAGCTTCTCGGATTTTTATTTGTCCACCCGTTACTCGCCTTTTAGACTATTCGGGGATTTTCTCGGGTCACAGGAGAGAGCGGGGATTAATGCCAGCGTGTTGTAGCTGTTTAAATTCTACAGTTAAATCGTCATTCTTCGGTTCAAATATTTAGTGTAATATTTTATTTTCAAAAACCCTAATTATTGGTCCCTTAATATAAGTGACCACGTTTTGCTTTGTAATGAACCGTAAAAACTATAATAGTTTTGTCAATTATTAAATTTAGGAATAGAAGGTGAATGAAACCAAAAAATAGTTACCACTTCCAGGCTTTAGCATCTTCCACTTTCAGAAAAATGACGTTTCATATTTCGTTAGAGTAGGAACTGAGAAGGTTTTTTTGGTATTAACCTGTAAAAAAAATTATAGGGGTGAATTTTAGGTCAAGGGAGAAAGGATGTTTACTACTATCCCTGGAGCCAGGGCCTGAAGATTGACCTGATCGCTGGCGAACGCTTGAATGTAAATTAGGAAAGTGTATGTTATTCTAAATAAAATGAAACTTGTCTGCCATTCCATAGCTGCTGCTTTCTAATTGCGGCTGATTTAAACATGTTCGGCCAGTTTCGAGGATCGGAACAGGAAACATATTGCAAAAAATGTGGGAAAAGGTTTCACTTTTTTAACTTGTGTATATGGGTTCAAACATGTTAAAATCAAAATTGCTGACAGGAGCAGCCAAGCGAAAACTTTTTACAGCCAAAAATCTACATTTTTTGTTTTATTCACCTATAAATCCTAAACCGTGCATCAAAGCTTTAAACGTACCCTTTAAGAAATTAAAAAAAAAAACGTTAAATTTTTCGTCGAATGAGTACCTAAATTTAATAATTAGAGAATTCATTTTCAATGTATAAGGTCATTTATGGTAATTTGTCTCAATTTTTGTAAATATCAGCGTTCTTTGACAATGTTTTTTTTTACCATACCACTTAACCAAATTATTGTTACCATACCACTTAACCAAGTTTGGTACTCATTCGACACAAAATTTAACATTTTTTAATTTTTTAAAGGATACGTTTTATGCTTCGGTGCAGTTTTTAGGAGCTAAAAGTGAAAAACAAAACGATATCGAGAAAAGAGGGCTTTTTTGACTGTAAATAGTTTTCCCTTGGTTGCCCGCGTTAGAAATTTTGATTTTTACATGTTTTATTCCATATACACAAGTTTAAAAAAAAAAAAGTTTTCGGGGTGTATATAATAATTTATACACATTTTTACAGAAAAATCTATTCATTTTGTTAATTGTTTGGTAACTGGATGGGTAGCAAGTAATTAAATAAGAAGAATTTTAAGGTGGATAGGGTATTGGATTCAGGGATGTAGGAGGGGATAGAATTCCATGGAGACCAGTATCGGATAATCAAAGATTTGTCGAATACCGCGGATCGGTGGAACGTAGTTTACAGATCTGAAGATGTAAAGGTATATAAATATATATATTTTATTTATAGCCTATAGAGAAAAGAAAGTGTTAGCTGTTGAATGTATTTCTGCGAAAATAATAAAGTAATGTCTGTTCGACGAAGATCAGACAGAAACTGTAGTAAAGATACTACATTATATTATCTCTGTTTATGCTAGTACTTAAGGATACACTTTCCGTGTGGTGAAGACCTTATATCATAAATTTACTCTAATTTAAGTCGGTCGGGTGGGTTTTGATCAGGGATTCGTGAGGGACAGCTGTTAAGATAAGAGTGTCTGAATAGATGGAACTTGGGAAGAAGAGTTAATGTGAGCAGTAGGATGGGAGTAAACTGGAGTTGGATGTTTGAAATGAAAAAATGAAAATGAAAATGAAAAAATAATTTTATTCTGGGACTACTGTCAAGTAAAAATAATATCAGAGTTACAAATTTATGTATCTTAGTCTGACATAATAAAAATATCAACTAATTTATTGTTAATTGTTATTTCAATTGTGCAATGGATTGAAATTAAACATTGTATAGATGCAAGTAATTTTACATGTTAGGGGAAGTTTGAATGTGGAGTAGGTGTTGGAACAGGAGTTGTTTGAAGGAATTTGTGGATGAGGATTGACGCATGGAGGTAGGAAGTGAGTTTCATAAAGAAGCAGCACGAATGACGAACGATTTGCTGAAGGAGGAAGTTTTATGGGAGGGAATATATAAGTCTATAGGTTTAGACCTAGTATTGAGAGAGTGGATAGAGGAGCGCAGAGTAAGGAGTTCCAGGATGTAGGGAGGGGTTTTAGTTCTGAAGACTTGGAAAAGGAAAACGCCAAGGAGGAATTGTCGTCGGGAAATAGGATAAAGCCACTTCAACTCGGTGTACCATAGTAAAACATGTGGGGATCCCGAAAATGTATCTTATGAAGCAATTCATGAGTCTTTTTAATCTCATTTCCAGCCTGGCAGATAGCCTTCCATACACCAAGCAGCCGTAGTCGAAGTGGGGGAATACAAGGGAGGTTACAAGGAGCTGTCTGGTTTTTAGAGGAATACAATCACGAAATCTTAGGAGTTGTTTAAGGGCAGTTATGGATTTTCGGGTAATCTAGGAGATATGATTATCCCAGGAGAGGTTCTGGTCAAAGGTTACTCATAGGTTTTTGACTGTAGGGAAAAAATGGATGGGATGGTTATTGAGGTAAAGTAGAGGAAAGTAAGGAAGGGAGCTGATGAGATGTCTGGACCCGATGATAATAGCCTTGGTTTTATCTGCATTCAGCTTTAATTCATTTATTTCTGCCCATCTGTTGATGCAGTCGATGTCCTCTTGTAGCCTCCGGGCGGCCTCAGGCATTTCAGAAGGTTGGAATGATTGGTATATTTGGAAATCATCTGCATATAGGTGGTAATTAGAGTGTTGAATGGCGTTAGGAAGGTCACTAATATAGATGGAGAAAAGGGTCGGGGAGAGTGAGGAACCCTGAGGAACACCTCGCGTTAATTGAAGTGATGATGATGGAGGTTTATTCGGTATTGTAACTGTCTGAGAGCGATTGGATAAGAAGGATAGGAACCATTTTAGGACGCTATTTGACATGGGCAGGCTTTGGAGTTTGGAAAGAAGGATCTCATGATTAACGGAATCAAACGCCTTGGAAAAGTCAAAAAGAATTAGGATGGAGATTTTCTGTTTATCTATGGCGGATTGGAGGTCTTGGGTAATCCTTAACAAGGTAGACTGGATGGAATACTGGGAACGGAAACCAGATTGTAAGGGATTGAGGAGATGGTTTTGCTCGAGAAAGCTGTTCAACTGAGAGTGAACTAATCTTTCTAGAGGCTTGGATAGATTGGATAGGATGGAGATGGGTCTGAAGTCGGAAGCTGATGAAGGAGTTGGAACTTTGTTCAGTGGACGGACTATGGCTCTTTTCCAAGATTTGGGAAAAATGGAATTTTGGAGAGAGAAATTTTATATGAGTAGAAGTGCGGGTAGTAAAGCTGGAATGCAGATTTTGATAACTTTAACAGGTATTTGGTCAGGAACATAATCATTCGTTTTGGATTTAAGGGTGGCAGAGAGCAGGTCAGTAGGAGAGATGTATAGAAAGTAAAACTTATCAGGATCAAAGGGGGTTTCGGTAATGGAAAAAGATGAGCGGTCAGATGGAGATGTGGATAGAAAATGGTTAGTGAAAAAAGGATTTAGCTTGTTAGGATCGATTGGATACTGTGTGCAGGTTTTCGAGGTAACAACAGAGAGGTTCTTAAGGATTTTCCATTTGAATTTGGGGTTAGATTCTTGGGATAAAACGTTATTGAAGTATTAGGTTTTGGCACGACGTAGGGTCATTTGTGTGAGATTTGGTAGGGATTTAAATGTGGAATAATCCTGAGTTAGTCTAGTGCGTCTGTATCGTCTTCTAGCAGTTTCTCTTCTCCTCATTAGTTCTCTTATTTCTGTATTGATCAAGGAGCGGGAGAACGTCTAAAGACACGAGTTTTTAGAGGTGCGTGACGATTGAGGAAATCGAGGAGGTTGGAGGAAAGGCATTCAACCATATCATCGATGGAGGGGAGATAATAGATGGGTTCTAAGCAAGTGGAAAGAGAATCGAGGAAGGGGCTGATGTTTTCAGTGGTTAAGGAATCTAGATCTCTCCAGGAAATTTGTTTGGGTTTAGGTGAAGGAGTAGAGAAGTTGTATGTTATTTCAATAAGATCGTGGGATGAAAGGAAGGGAACTGGAATTTGCGTAGAGGATAATAGGTTATGTGGGGAATCAATAATAAATAAATCTAGCCAAGTATCAGTGGATTGGGTGTGATGGGTGGGTTGAAAAGGTACAATAAATAGATCTAAGGAAAAAACTAGGTCGGTAAGATATGTTCTGTCCGGAGTGTTTGAAAGGTGGTTGGTGTTGAGATCACCAGCTATAATAACATTTTCGTAGAGAGGAATATATGTAAGGAAGGAGGATTCGAGAGTGGGATCGAATCGGACACGAGGAGGTCGGTAAATAACGATAAAGAGTAGAGGAAAGGTACTAAAGGAAACCTAGACAAACAGATATTCTATGTTAGGGACGTCTGAGGGAGGAGATTTTAGAAGGACTTTGGCCGTCAAACTGTCATGTACGAACAATCCCACACCTCCACCTGTTCGTTCCATTCGATCATGACGGAAGAGGGTATAGTCGGGTAAGGAAACGGATAGGGAGGGAATATCAGGTTTTAGCCAAGTTTCTGAAACGGCTATGATATGATGGAAGTTATGGTGAAAATAATCGAGGAATTCGTCATAATGTGCTAGAAGGGATTGGGAGTTAACGTGACAGGATATTAAGGTATTGGTCATGAAGAGGTCAGGGTAAGGATAATCTGTGGAGTGTGACAAAATGGTTTTAATATTGATGGAATAGGCACATTTTTAAACTTACATAATGAGATATAATAACAAATTATGTACATTATATTGATATAGATCTTACTTGAAATCTTTAAATGAAGGTAAGCATAGAAAAAATTAAAATCTGATTCGAAGTAAAATAAGAAAATTTCATCTTTAAAAAAATACTTAATAAGCAATAGAATAAATTATTATGAACTATAGAAACAAAAAAGACCAATAACATATTTAAAAAAGAAAAATAAAATAAAAGATATTCATAAAAAAGAGGTTGGAGGGAACAGTGAGACCTATTTCATTCCAGCAATTCAATGTCTTCCTTTTTGTTGACGATGATGACCTGGGATCCATCCTGTCTTCTGGATCGTACCTTTCCTCCAGCGAACCATACGTATCTCAGCATACCCGACGCCCTTTTCTGCCTTGCCAACCAGTATAAATGCTTATTACCTGGACTCATTTCTTCGCCCAGATAAATTCTCTCGTCGCTGTTCCGTCCCAGATGCCGCGTGGAAAAGTCCCTCTTGACCTTGCGCAAGCGGATGACTTCGTCACGCACCGTCCGGCGGACGAACCGCACGACGATTGGCGGTGGCCTAGGATCCTCTCTTCTGGTCCTTTTCCTCTCCACAAAATCCAGCTCTTCAACACCTAGCTTTATGCCCAGAGCTGCACCGATAGAGCGATCCAAGCCCTCGGTAGATTCTCCAGCATCGGATGTGATACCTCGTATTTCCAGGGAGTTGGATAGTTGAGCTTGTTCTGTTTGGTTAAGTCTCACCTCCAGGTTGCTAATTTGAGATTTTAACTGTTTGTTCTCACTGAGTAAATTTTCTATTATTTTCTCTTGCTTCTATTTTTTTAAGTCTCTCACTATTTTCAAATGCGAGATCGCTTTGCTTTCGGAACGAGATTTTAACTTCCTTTATATCCCCGGCGATCTTTTTAACCTCAGCCAAAATAGAGGTATTGCTCTCTTCTTACACATCCACGGTTGCTGTGTTTACTTTGAGGTTTTGTACATGATGTACAAAACCAATTTTTTTTTTTGTTGCTTCGATAAGTCGGCTTCAGAGACGTTAATACATATTTAGGAGGTAATTTTAATCCTAGAGGTATCTGATGAGGAGGCATTTGCTGACCTGGAGATTTTGACTGAATGTGTGTTAGTTTCTGGCAGGTGTAAGGCATGAGGATCTGCACATTTGACACACCGCCGCGGAGTGATGGCAGTAGGCCTTTGTATGACCTAAGTTTTGACACTTGGTGCATTGCAGGACAAGATGTTTCTGTTTAGGTTCTTCAAATTTTACAGTAGAATACAACAATCTTTTGACTTCAAAGATTTCAGAATTATTCCGGGCTGGTTCCAAATCAATGAAAAATAATGGCAGTCGATATTGGTCGATTGGATGTAAAACAGAAGATATATATCTTACATTGTGGCCGATATCATCAAGATCTTTTTTTATAGCGGTCGTAGGAATGGTTGAGTAAAGAACTCTCAAAACGACCCTATGTGTTTTTCCTTCTTTTAATTGATAGCAGTGGAAGTCATAGTTTTGTGTTGTCAAGTGATTAATAACTTTTTTATAATCGTTTTTGATGTTTGTGTTAATCTTTATGTCATTGACACGAGAAAAACACCGGAAATTGTTCTGTCCAATCAGGTTAGCTATTTCTTGATCGAACTGCATGAAGTTGTCAATTTTGCTTACATATATCAGTGGTGGCTCTGGTTCGGTGAAAGTCATAGGTTCACTGGTCTCCTTATTTTTATTATTGACTGCAACAGAATTGTTGCTGCTAGATGTGCTAGTAGGAGGTTTAGTTTCAGCTTTCATAGCTTAATTATTATTAGTGCTAGTTTTTGATTGTTTATTTTTGTCTGCTTTGATTTAGCGGATTTTTTTTGTATTTGGTGAGTTGCCGCCGACCCGGGGGCAGAGTTTCTGTGGCGCTTTTGGAGAGTTCGCCTTGCTAAGCACTGAGAATCCGTCGCACTAATTTTGGAGAAGGGAGTATCTACATATGATTCATCAATAGAAATGTTCTTATCAGAATCCAAAGATTAATAACTAATCTATTTACAATTATTAAATAAAACATTTTCAATAAATATATAAAATAAAAGAGTCAGAGTAAAAAAAAAAAAATAAATAAATAACTAAAACAGAGAGAAAAAAAGTATATATGAGTCTGAGGTACGAACACAGATTGAAGAGTAATACAAAGCGCCATGACCATGACCTTGAAAGATAAGACCGGCTGAGGGGAATTATCTGCCACGTAAACTATCTCTAGCAAACGAACAACAGTTTAATATTGCTAATTGTTAATAATAAGTCACCTCACTGATTGTAAAGTAAAATTGTTAAACTGTTAATAAACTCGCTGTTTACAAAGTCTGAGAATAGGATTTCAGATAATAACCAGATGACAAAGTAGCAAAGACAGAACGATACGAATATTGGACTGCAGTTGCGGCCATGACACTTGATACTCTCATTCTTATTTATGAACTTTACTGTTTTGGTTTCTTGTTCTTCATCATAAATGGCATATGACAGCTATTATAGCCTTAATTTTAATATGTAAAATAATAAATCTTCGGGTATCAAGGAAAAGACAGCTAGATCTCATGCCAGTGCCATGATGCTCGACCTCTACAAATTTGTCAATAAGGGTGGCATATAGAAAGGAATGAGAAAAAACAACTGTTCTGCAGTTAAGTATTATTTAATATTGACACTTAAGCACTAACTATAAATATTTAATTTAACACATTGTGCACAATTACAATCCTACAGTTGGAGCATAATACTTCTGGCTACCATTAGATTTCTAATTGCAAATTTTAATATCATAAACTTCTTAAACATTAAGAGTAATAAATAACAGGAAGTTGATATCGTATATTATAAAACAATGCAATAATTTATACATTTTACCTAATATTCATAAATTAACAGTAATAAATCTTACATATTAAACAACAAACATAGATAAAATCACTGATAATATGGAATGAACAGTTTACTTACTAATATACAAAACTCATTACTACCTCATGATAGTTCAATAACATAAAATCATATTAGAAAAAGCCTTTTAAAGGAAAATAAAGGTTCGTCTTTTTAATTAAAGCAATTCTCAAAGATATAATAATTTGTTTTTAATAAGGATATTGAATTTCACCATATTAGACTTAGGAAGGTAATAATAAGATTATTAAGTACTAAAAAATCAATTAAATTAAATTACAGGTGAGATTATTCCTCAGCAGCGTTAGAAGCCTGCTCCAATATAACTTCAAATGAGAATGGTTGGAATGTGTAGCCAACACCACCATAAAATTTGCTCTGGAATTCAACCCTACAACAAAGAAAAAAAAGTTAGAATGGAACCAACAACATTAACTAAAATTAATCTAATTTACAGCATTACCTAAAAATTGAATATAATATTAACCCTTCCAACAACCGGTGAGATCAGCCTGCACCCTACGTCTATTTTTATTATTATTTATTAATATAATTTTCTAGTTATATCTTTTAGGTTCGGTGCCATTTTTTTAAAAAAAGTTTTTTATAAAACACTAGGCTAAACGTCACCGAAGTACACAGTTATCACATCATGTATAAAAAATTTTATGAAGCGGTGCATGGTAGGTAGACGATAAAATAGAATTTGGACTATTTATATAACTGATTGTTATTGAATTAATATGTGTTTTATAATGATGTAGTTTGAAGTATAACAACTGAATTAAAATTAGTTTGCAGATCTTGAAAATGGTAGCTAAAGCCGAAACGTCGAATAAATAATACATTATGTGATAACTGTGTACATTTGATAACCTTTGGCCTAGAATTTTATTAAAAACTCTAAATAATTTAAGCATCAGAGATGAATTTATAGTTCATACTGAAGATTGTAATAATATGCAAAACATTAGTACAAATAGAAAGAATACTCTCACTTGGCAACAGAATATTGGACTGTCAACAATTCACACAGTCCAGCTTCCAGAATCAAAACCAGACACCAGTATGATCAAACAATAGATGATAGAGGCTACAATGCCAACGTTAAGAAAATGATCATCATCTTAAAGCTATTTATATCTTTTGTAAATTATTTCATTTGTATGTATTCAAAGTAATAGTAAATAGAATTAGAATTTCATTCATTAAATTTCAAAACTTCCTTCTAAGTAATCCAAATTATAAATAGTCGTCAAATGAAACGTAAAGGTTAATGGAATATGCCACCCACCTTAATGTTTTATTTATTGAAAAACTTTTTCAAAATAATAAATTCAAAGATAATGAATTTTTATATTTTTTAAATTAGAATATATACATATAAATATATATGTACTATATCTTAACTTTTCCACAACATTCATTGAGTTTTTATAATTTTTTTAATCTTTGTAAATCTCAGTTTCATTCTGGCAGTTTTCCAGATTTATTTCATCGTGGTTTATACAGTTTTTTTTTTTTTTGTAATTTAAATCCACTTTTTGTAATTATAAATTCTTTAAAAGTAATTTGTTTCTCATCAGCATTGCATCAATTTCTAAATATCATACAAGTTTGGATCAGCTAAATACAAACGGACGGCAAAAATTTCTAAAAAAAATTAGAGACCACAGAATTACTCCATCCGGTATTGATGCATAATTTTTTTAACCTGATGGTGAGGTTGTGAAAATCAATTATTTAAAAAAAAATTAACTTGACTTTTTATTAATAAATTTGTGATTATGCATTGCAAGTAGAATCAATTTATTAATTTTAGCAAATAATAAAATCTCATAATGTTCAAAAAATGGTAATGGTTTTTACGAACTAATGTCGATAACTGACATTCCAAAAATTTTGTCATTTCAGCATATGTTTTTCTTTAATTTCAAAAGCAATCTCATTTCGAAAATTGACAATGCTTATCCATTTGGTAAGCCTCTTAATTATGTACAGAAATTTACAACAGAGATTTTTGATAATGAATAATGGTAAACTCACCAATGCAATCGAAGAGTGTGAAGAAAGGCAGAAAGACCTTCCATGAGAACTAATATGCCAACAGTCAGCATTGCCCAGAAGGAGAAAACGGCCCAAAGGATAATTCCTCCGATCCAGCTTTCAAACTTCAAACCTTTACTAAGGACCATATTCCATAGTACTTCAGAGAGTTCTGTAATGTCAAACAAATGAAAAATGAAAATGATAAAATCATAAGATGGTAAGAAATCTTTCTTTAATAAATTTCACAGTGCACTGGTTTGAAAGTATTATTGTCAAGGTTGGCTTGAAAATGAGAGTTTCAGCTACATATATAATGATAACGAAAACCAATTCCCTTCATAATCATAATGCTGTATGATTTTATATCTATTTTTATTCAATAACATTTATTTTTCAAAATTATGTTTTAATAAGCTTTTATCAGTAATACAAATGTAATAAAACTCCAGAAAATAATCTAAAATACAATCAATTAACAATGAGAGGTACATAAGTCTTGCATCACTTAAATACAATTAATTTACATAGATCATCTCATGTATGATTTCATATTGCACATTACATTATTAAGTACATCAAAACATGTCTTAAATTAATTAGTAAATAAGTACAGTTCTTTCTACTAAAAACTTACACTTATACATAATTTAAAATATAATACTTACGGGCATGAGCCAAAGACAGCGCCCACAGCCGAAGGTATGAAGCAGTATGAGATACTGAACCAAGGACATATTCTATAGTATGGATGCCTTGGTGAATAAACATCTCAGTCATATCATCCTCCTCGTGCTTACCACCACCATGGGAGATTGGATCTGGGGTGGTCTGAGGGACACCTCCTTCGATGTCACCATTTTCAGAACCGATGTGATTATTGCTCAGCTGGAAAATCCCAACAAAAGATAAATTAAACTAGATTCAAATAAAAAAAAAAAAAAGATAATAATTATGATTCCAATGATAGACTCTGCAGTTATACTTAATGCAAAAATATTAATTGAAATGAGATATGCTTGCAAAACTTAAATTTGCTGCTCTTTCAAGTAAGTCATTTATCAAGCTCAATAGCTTTGTTTCAAATCAATTAGTGATTACTGACTTTCCAAAACAGAAATTTCAACACTGACCAAACATTTCTATTTATACAAATGAATGATTAAATGAAGAGGAAGAAATTTCTATCATTCGCTATCATAAATCGATAGCTATGAAACCTAAGTTGGACAACAGTGAAGTTGATTTCACCCATCAACAATATTGTTCTGCAAAGAATAATAAATAAATCTATATCAGACAGAGGAGAAATAATATCTTATATCTGACTCCCACAATTGAAAAATCATGACTAAAGGAAATAATAAAGGATTTTATCCATCCCTTACAGCAAAATTTGGGTACTTCTTGATTTGTGCCGACTTAACATTCAAAATAAGAATCAAATTACAATCTAAATCTAATTAAAAAGAAAAATGGCAATTCCTTCATAAAATTTTACCTATATACAAGTTTTAGTTAAACTGAGATTTTGGGAAGAAAATAATCAATTACAAATTGAACATAGCTGTATAAAAACCAAATGTGTAAATTAAATGAGATAATAAAACTTAAATAAATCCATACCAATTGGTGCTCCTTCTTTTTTCCCCTCATAATAATAATAGGTTTAGCCAAAAGCATCCAAGGGATACAAATTAATGCAATAACCACCAACAACTTTTGGAGGAAATCCTAAAATGTCAGTTGAAACAAGAATTAAATAAAATAAAAATCTTGAGAGGGATGAAATGGTCAAAGTTGTATAACTTCCTTACCTGCCCTGCGTACATGTTTACTTCACATTTAGGAAGAGGTGTACTTGGCTTAAAGAGTACCATATTGATAAATGTTATCAGGATGGATGGAGCACAGTACGGAGAAGTCAAAACATTTTCTGGAATTAAAAAATATTCTATTAAATTAATTAGAACCCAACATATAAAAGTTAAGGATGAAAGTGTGAAAGCAGGTAGGTTAGTGCATTGGTTATTTTGTAAATAATAAACATTTTTTCAGACATGACTAAAACAAATAAAATAAAAATATTATAAATAAGTATAAATAAAATGCTAATAAAACACAATTAATTATTGTATAATCTAAGAACATTGTAAATTATAAATTATCAGAATAGTTTTTAATTAAATTAATTACTAATGCTAACTACTAATAGTATTCTTATAATGTCTTTATCAAACATAATATAATAAACACTTCATTAGGGATAAACCTGCCTTTAACAAATAAATTCTCACAAATTTTAAACCAATTAGTCGTTAAAAAATATATACTGAAAACCATGTGGAATAATCAAGATAATCCAACAATGGTATAATACTTCACAACTTTTTAAACTATTTTTTAAAAGAAGTTTTAAATCATTCAAAAGGCAACTTAATTTTCTTTAAATATTTCAATAAGCATTATAGCGAAGTTTCCAGGGAAACTTTCAAAATTGTTGATTAAATTTATTTTGAACAAACTTTTTATGGTTTTAATGTATCTAATTTATTAAATATAAATAACTTTCAACATTTTTCCTCATACAGTTTTAAACCAATGGCAGAAACTAAGGATAATAGAGTAAAATACCAAAAAATGATTTTAAAAAACTTACCACTTTCTGGATAGAAGATAATCCATTTCATAAACATAAGAATAACCATATAGAAGAATAAAAATAGGAGGAAAATCAATTGAGGAATAAACTCACAATAGATGGATAAGTAGTTATTAAAATATCTAAAATAAAAACATGATATTATTTTTTTTAATAAATAAGATCCACGGGTAACTAAACAGAAATAAATATCTCAATACCTATAGTTCTTGAGACTGAGTGAAACTCCAAACAACATGTGAAAGACACCAATAATAATAGATATCTTCATTTTATATGCATTCAAGAAAACAATTTTGTTATCTGCCATCTATGGTGAAAAAATGAATAAATACTTAAAATCAAATAAAACGGAATAAGAATGGATAAGAGAATTTCGAAATACCTGCCAAACTGGATCGATACCAACAGGATATGGTGATTTAATATAATCATTTGTCTTTGGATCTAACTGCAAGTATTTACTGTCATTAACAGTACTCATGTTGTAGTTGATTGTCCAGTGAGAACCGAATATATTTAAAGATTTTGAAAATATGTCGTTATATATCAGACCAGTGTACATGGAAAATAAGCCCATAAGAAGGATGATATAGCGCCCTCCAAAGAAGATATTCCAGATCTAATCATATAAACAAAAGTAAATCAATAATAATCAAACATATAATACAGTATTTATATAAAATTTAGCAAAAAAATCAAAGTAGGAGGAGTATAGCTTCCTCACCAAAAAAATTTCAATTACGTAATTACTTATATTTTAAGATCTACGATTTCTCATTTGAGAACCCAATATTGAAGTATATTTCTGTCAGGAAGAAATGCACTGCAAAGCAAAAGAATTTAACCAAATTTTATAAAATCCATTTTATGAGGCATGTCCAGAAAGTAAGAGTACTGTTGGGCTCACGTGTTGTGACTTTACCATAAGTTGATAACACTGAAAACCTCCATTTTTGCTTAGGAGGAAGACAATTAATGCAGCACAAAACCATAAGAACTGTAAGAAGAAAAACAAATGAAGGGGAATGCTGAGAAGCACCTGCCCACACACAATCAACTCCTCTAGGACATTTTTGAAGTCATTAGGTCAGAACAATTTTATCCATTCTGAATTATCATCTTTAGAATTTGATCTTTTTACTTTCCTGAAAACTTGCATCTTCAGAAAATTTCAACAGATGAGGAAGTGAAACAAGAGGTTTTGAAATGGAAAAAAGATATGGCAGAAAAGTTCAATGAGAGGAGGGGCATCAAAAAGCTTGTGTAAGGGCTCAAAACAAAAAGGTAACTACATGGAAAAATATGTAACAAATAAATACATCTTGAAAACTATGTAATGTTTTATAAAATAGAAAAATTGAATACTCTTACTTTCTGGACTAGTAGATCATATAGGTATCCCTGAAAATTTCTTAAAATCAAATTAACAGCAATAGATGTTATGCTCGTAAAATGGATTTGACTATTAACAGACAGAAATGGAACCTAATTTGTTCCTTGATGTCTAAAACATAAACAAAAATAAGGAAAAGTTAAAAATTGGACTTGGCTCATTTTGGAATTCCTCATCTCAATATGTGTATGTATACGAGGTGGAAATTTCCAATTATGAGCTCATTTTTTTTTTTAAAACCTCTCCCATGAATATGAAGCTTCCCTGTCTTTGGTAATGAGGAAGCAATAAATAAGAGTATATTTCAAGGGTATTATCTGATTGGTTAATAATCTTTATTTACCAAACCATTAATTAAATCTGTCAATAAATTAATTATAATGCATTTGTATTTGCTATAAACTAGAATTCTATTTAATTATAATAATCTATAATCATTATTAAACCCTCCATTCATATTCTAAATATACATTCTAAGCTTGCTCTGGCATTAACAAGAACTTGAGAATGGTGATATGCAAGATTATTTTCCATCAGTGAAAATATTTAAGAACTAAGAAGGACAAGCAATGGACTTATTTTAAATTTCAAATATTAAATTAAAAACTGTTTTTTTTTTTAAGTAGGCAAATTTTAATACAAATTAATGTAAAAATAGAATATAAAGAGCAAACCTCATTATCAGTTTTCTTGGCAGCTAAAGGCTTTTCTTGGAGAACCATCCAAGCAGCAAATATGGTCATGATAGCTCCATGTCCCAAATCACCAAACATGACAGCAAACAGGAAAGGGAAAGTAATAATTGTATAAGGAGCTGAAAATTAAAAATTAGCAACTATTATTCATGTTTTGATAATTTTATATATAATCTAAGAATAATAATGCGAAATGATTAACTTTTTAAAATAAACCATATTAAAGGTACTTTAGAGGAAGAAATATATGTACATTGGACATTTAAGTCCTGTAAGGTGACATCAACGGGGATAAGACCTAAATGATATTAAAGACCACTTAATTATACAATGATACACCGAGTTTAATCAAAATCGTTAGAGCCGTTTTTGAGAAAATTGTAAAAATGTGTTTCAGTGTTCATATAAAGTGGCACTTCCGGTTAGCCGATTTTAACAAAAAAGTTGCTGTCACATCCGGCCCATATACAAACCTTAAATACTTAATATCAGTTTCGTACTATTTTTCGTTTATGAGCTAGACTGTTAACACACACAGACCATTTGCGACACTTGGTTATTTGGACTCAGGGGACCTCAAAACATGTATTTCCGTTGAAAACTGAGATTCGAAAATTTTCAAGATCGCAATACTTACCCTTACTATATATTACATACATACGTAAGTGAAAGTAAAAACTAAGTAAAATTATTTATTTTAAGACAAAAAGAATGAAAAATAATATCCACGAGAAATAAAAAATGATAAAAGTCACAAGGAGATTAAAAAAAAAGGGAAAATAAAAGAGAAAAAGAGAATTAGTAGCCAAGTCCTATTCAGTATTTTCTAAATACTACACTCGCTAGCACCATTGCACATTGCCTGTCTTTGAAAATCTATCCCATAGAGGCAATCTCAAAAAATGTAAATCAAACAATTATGAAGTTTGTGAGGAAATATAGGAGGGGTTATTTATATCATTTCTAATATTTTTAGCAATTGAACATTCATGCCAGAAATTCATGAAAAGATAGACATCAGCAATGTAGGTGATAGTACATAGTACAAGAGAGTCAATTTATTTGTTATTGTTATAAGATTTGACTATCTTTATAACTTGCATTTAAAAGCATATTAATTATTTTAAAAAGTTGCCATTTTTAATATTAGGGGGGTACTCTGTATCCGCCAAACAGCAAACCAACACCCATATTTGTTAGTAAATAGTGTTAGTCTACTTTTATTGTAAATATTGTGTATAGTATGTGATTAAAAAGTTTGTTTTTGTAAATGGTTTGTTTATATTCTTTGATTAGTGTGTTAAATTTGTTGGGAATAAGAAGCATGATGTTTTTGTAAACATCCATCCTGCTTTTTAAATGAAAAATAAAATATGATAGTCACTAAAAATCTTTTTATATAATAGAGAGAAATAGTTGTAAGTTATCACTAAAATAATATTTAAATTAAACTTTCCAGATCACTTATTAAAGATTAAAGTAAACGAAACTTCTTAGCGTTTTCATATTCCTCTCTCTTCTGTCAATATGTACTTGGGATTTTTATTTCAATGGTGCAACTTATTTATCTCTAAGAAAGATTTATAAAAATTATTAAGATATATAATCACCTGGATTCATCTCACGGTAAGAGGCCACACCGTAAGCATCAATTAAACTTTGAAAGCCGTTAGTGAACTTATTGGTACGGTTATAAGTTGGTGGGTCTTCAAAAGTATCCATCCTATTTAAAATAGGTGGTACGGAGCTACCACTTCTTTCCTATAATGAAAATGTAATTATAAACAATTTTAGAAATTTTAACTTTTAATAAATGATATTAAATAATTACTTACAGTCCCTCTTCTGAGAGCTAGTTGTATTGTTTCAATATCTAAAACTGGTACCCAGCATTCCGCAATTAAACACTTCTGAGTAACATCAAGATTGAACAAATTCAGAGTATGATATATGGCTTTAATTTTTCGTACTTTGACAAACCAACTTTTTATGTTCTTAGCTGCAGCTACAAGCACTCTATGGCGATGATCTTGAGTCTGGCCTAAAACCTGGAAATTTATAACAATAAATATATAAGCATATAGTAAATAAATAAATAATTTTAAAATGTCATATTCCAATATTCCAAAATGAGCAAAGTCTTGTTTTCATTATTTTTTGTTTTGAAAATTATTGCATTAAACTATCAAGATATTAAAAAATTTCTTCAAAAATTATTGCTAAACCGAAAAACGATTGTATTGTTTTAGGAAGAAAAAATAAAATTAAAATTGACTTATGTGGTTTTGGAATCCTATGTCTCGATTATTTGTTTAAGATGGCCAGTTGACGCATATCTAGATGGATTTTAAATATTCAGTAAAATTAACAAATTATGTTAGAAAAAATGCTTTTCATAGATTTCAATATAATTTTAACAGTATTTCTACCGCATGTTGCAGTGAAAGAAACAAAACACTATCATTGTTGCCAACACTTTTATTATCTACTGTATTATTAATGTATTCTATATGTTTATGAACCTCATAACTTTATAGTAACAAATTTATTTAGTTGATTTTCTTTTTATAAAAAATAATAGAGAAGAAAACTAACTGTATTCAGATCTTCAATTCTAGTCATAACTCCCATAGCCATCTCCCTTCTATCAGCAGGAGCTTCTGGGCATGGGTAAAGAGTTGCACGAAATCCTTCACAGATTTTTTTCACTCGAGTTTTTAGTTGGTCACCTTGGAAGAAAATTATGAACACAGATTTGTATACTTGGTCTCCCTGAAACATGAAAAAAAGATGAACAAAAACATACACATTTAGAGTTAATGATATAACTATTATTATTTATTGCTAGCCATTTTTTTCTATTAGTAATCCACTAGTTACGCCAATAGAAAAATGAAAATAAATAAACTTCTAATGGTTATTACTGCTAGGCTTCTCCAATAACCACAGTATCTAAACTCATAGTCCGAGTGTCTTACAGAGGTGATGGGCCTCTGAGTCTTCTGATACAGAAGACTAGTATGAGAATGAGAAATATCACTATTTCTAAACAGTTAACATTGAGATAATCAAGAATTATTTTCTTGGAGACTTTTGCCATGTGTGGAAGTAAGGCAATAAATAGTTTGATGGTTGATTAGATTCCATTTTTGGAGAGTTCCAAGAGAGGAAACAGCATAGCTTATTTATTATGGAAATCATAACCGAAAAGAAAAGAAAAAAAAATACCCTTCCTGTCACTATAAGAACCATTACATTGGTCACTGAATTATAGATTAAATTAGTTGAAAAAAGAAATAAAATAAAAGATTAGTTTAACTTATGAATTGAAAAAATATGACACAACTTACTGTAGAAGGATCTTCTAAAGGATTCTCTATTTCAGCTTGTCTTAGAAACACATTACCACGGCAGGCGCGCCACAGCATCCGTTCAAATGCAGGGATTCTTTCTCTTAGTATAACTCCAGCGACAAATCTAATATTAAGGAAAAGCATTTATTAACATAATTCATGAAATGATTGGTTTTAAATAATGATTAGTTAAGATTCAAACGATCATGGATGAATAATTACTTACTAGAACAATTTTTTAAGAGAAAAAAACAAATGTTTATGAAATAGATTTAATACAACTAATACAGTTTAAAATTTATTTTTGTGGCTATATTAATTATGCCTAGAGTATTAGGTGATCCCTAAGGAATTACAATTTAAATTACTAAATTAATGAAGTATTGTTAATTAATTTGTCTACTAAATCATAAAACAATAATTTTTAATAAGTGAATTTTTATACTGTAACATTTTTTTTCCTCCTGGTGATGAAATAAAAAATAGTGGATAGTGCATAGCCTATTCATCCACAATCCAAATTTTAGAACTCAAATTTTTGTTGATTGAACAATTTTTTGGTTTCTTAATACCCTTTCAGTGCCATTTTCATTCAATTTATATTCAAACACATTCTACATAATCCAGATATTCTTGAGAAAACAAAATCATACTCTGAGTCTTATTTAATGCAAACTACAAATATAATATAATATAAAATAAACTATAATAACTGGAAAAATACATTTCTCATCTCTTTCTTGTGGAGTGGGGAGAAGAAGAAGAAATAGAAGGATCAAAATATAATTTGAATTTAAAAAAAATTTAATTAAATGGAGTATACACATTGAAATAAATGGTACAGGGACTGAAAGGGTAAAAGGCAACCATAATTTATTATGTGTTTTTGTTAAGCAAAAAAATCAAATTCTAATACAATATGCAAATATTCAGAACTTCTATTAAGATATTGTCACTAATTACCACTTCAGGTAACATAAAACATTATTTAAAAAATCTTTAAATTAATTCTTATCATTCAAACAATACACTAAAAAAGAATTCCACAATTTCATTTCAAATTTGACCATGTTTCTCACGGCTTGCTTTATGTAGATGTTTAAAATAATAAAACTGCTTATTTAAAAAACATACCATTTTGAAAGAAATAAATATTTGAGCTCACCTCATCATCAATTTACGTGCTCCTTCCAAGTCAACACTGAATGTTGACAGCGTAAGCAAACAAAAAATATATACATCATAAGCTACATATTTCACAGACCATTTGAAACAAAAAAAATGAAAAAAACAAAACAATTATCTGACACACTGTATAACTCCCAAACAAAATTAAATACATACACACATCTGAACTGTGAATGAACATCGTTCATAAAAAAAAGAATTAAAAATAACAATCAGCATGCATCAATGATGTCTGGACATGGTCCAATAAGTAGGAAATGACCAAATGAAATCACTAACTCAGTAACGAAAAAAAAAAAATCAAATGGTAATAAAACACATCTAATAGTATTATGACTCAAATGTATTTATATATAATAAAAACTGTAATTTGACAAAAAAAGCATTACCCAGACTTGTGAAAAAATAACACATTATTAAAATATCAATATATAATTTTCGATTCATAAAATAGTGAAAGAACAAAAAAATAAGGAACAAGTTCCATATAAAAATGACATTCTTATTTTTAAAACACACCAATATATTTCAATAAATTTTCTGTATTCATCCAAACTTACTCCATACCATTTATTATTTATTTATAAACATTGGAGTGAATTAACTATTGAGAACATTTATAAACAATTCAATTTTTAAATAAGATTGTAATCCTTACTAAGCATAAACGCACACTTTCTTGAACAATCCTTTTTGAAAAAATATAAAATCAGATTAAAATAAAACAGTTATTTTTATAAGATTTACTAACTAACACTAATTAAAAGAATGTAGCTCGAACTGAGAATTCATAAAAATCACAAAATGGTACTGAGATTGAATCAAGTATGTACTGAATTTTATTTTTAATCAATCCATTCATTTATTCCCTTTCTTTACTATCATATTATTAAAATTGTTATATACACTAAATTAAAACTCATTTATCCTATTCAAGTATAAACAACGTACCATTTTGTGATGTGTTATTTTGCCTAAAAATTTTAAAAATAAGCAAATATATCAGTTCGATCGATTTTTGTTAGAAATGTGGATTGTTTTAAAATATTTCCAGTTCTCTTTGCCTTATCAGACAATAATGATACTTATCAAAAAGACCTAAGTCCATTCTTTGAAACTGTTGCATTTGGTTTCATTGGCATTAGTTTTGTTTATGCTACATCATAGTGAATATGTCAAATGATAAAGTACATTTTCAGCATATTTTGCTTTTTTATTTAAAAAAAAAAGGCAAGTAAGCTTCGGAGGTCCACCGAAAGATATATAAGGTATATGGGAATGATGCTTTAACAGAACATAGTGCTCAAAAATGACTTTGCCAAGTTTCGTTCCAGAAATACGAGTCTTGAAGAAGTAGCCCACAGTGGTCGGCCCACCGAGGTTGATTTGGGTAATATCAAGACTCTAATCGAACAAGCCCAGTCACTGCAGGTACGAGAAATTGCGGAGACACTGAAAATATGTTTTGAAACTGTTCAAAGGCATATAAAACAGCTTGGTTACAAGTTTTTCCTCAATGTTTGGGTGCCACACAAACTGACTGAGGCCAACTGAATATCAATCTGCAACTCTCTTCTGAACTGGGATGAAAGGGACCCATTTCTTAAACAAATAGTGATGAGTGATGAAAACCAGATCATCTACGACAATGTAGTACGCAGGAGATCATGGAAAACTGCTGACTAGTCCCCTAATGCCACCCTGAATATAAGTCTAAATCCGAAAAATTGTTTGCTCAACATATGGTAAAATTATTGAAGCGTGCTTAATTCAAAGATCTACTGCACACAGCTAACAAAATTGGAACATGCACTGTGACCGAAACGTCCAGAACTAGTCAATTGCAAAGTTGAATTCTACTATGACAACCCCAGACCACACTCCACAATAATCACACAGCAAAATATAGTACAACTTGGCTGCGATGTTTTATTACACCCACAGTATTCTCTGGACCTTGCATCATTCGACTACTACTTATTCCAGTCCCTCCAAAAACCTCAACAGAAAATCATTCGCTGATGAGAGAGAAGTGAAAATGTATCTCAATCAGTTTTTCGCTTCTAAGCCTCAGATGCTTAACGAGAGCGGAATAATGAAATTGTTAAAAAGATGGCAAGAGGTCATTAAAAACGGTGAACACATTATTAAATAAAATTTATTCTTTGTACTAGCTGACCCGGTCACGCATTGCTGTGGCTCATTCTGGTTAAATAAAAAAAGGAGTAGAAAAGAAATTAGACGTTTCTAATATATTTTATGTAACAATACAATATGCGATATTCTTTGTATAGATATAGAAATTGTCTGAAGAAAATACAAGATGCTCATTTTATCACATAAAGTGCATGTTCAAAATAATAATAATAAATTAATGAGGATTAAATTAATTTCATAAACTTCAGACATAATTATTTTGTAAACTCTACGATTATTCTAAGGGGACTTCAGTCCCAGAATAAAATTATTTTTTATTTCATTTCATAATAAAATTTATTATTCCCTGCATTCAATCATCAAATAAATAACAAGACTAATTTTTAAAAATAAATTATCTATTACATTAAGTCTTCACTTAGAACATACTTTTTTTTTTGTAAAGAAACAAAAACTAACTTTAAAAACTCAAAACATAAATCCAGAATGTTATTTATTTTTTTAAATTAAAGTAAGTAAACAAGGTTTCAATATGAGAAGAAATAAAAAATAAATATCGTAGTTGCGAATGATGAAGATGGAAACGAGCAGAAAAGAATATTTTAGTCCACAAATGCTGAAAGAAAAAGTAAAGCATCAAAGGAGATATTCTTGCCTCTCGATCTGAATATGACTTGAGTGTTTTCCGAGTGAACGCAGAAATTTTAAGCAGAAGTGATGTGACTCGCCAAATTAAAAAAAATATAAAACATAAATTAAAGCAGGCAAACAGAAAAAAAGACAAGCAATAAATAATACCATAACTATTGATCCAGAAAAATAGAAAACTTGGAAGCAGGTTTTTAAATTGATTATTATTTTTTTCAATAAAATCATGTAATAATTTTATTTGATTTTAAATTTTAAAATCATGCCTAATTTATAAATAAAAATTTAAATCAATCTTTCATGTTTATTGATTCGATTAAAAATAATGATCACTCGCTGAGTGATATGCTATTAAATAAATAATAATGATTAAATTGTGAAAAAAAAATTTTATCAGAGAATAAAAATCACCTTTTACATACAAATTAATGTATTAATATTGATGTACACATTATTAATATACACATTTTTAATGCTATATTTCAGAAATTGCTTTAATATTTGCACGCAAACTTGGGGGCGATGGCGTTTTCAGCAGTGAAATACATCTTCAGCGACTTACATTCCCGGTTGACATCTGAGTACTTGGGAAAAATTCTTATTTTAAAAATAAATTCTTCCAGTTCTATGTAGTGAGGCAGTTTTTGTAAGTCATTTCTAATAAATTTCGAAAATGCTCTTTTGCATAGTTGACTACAATATTCTCTATTTACTACTCGACTCAAAATATATCATAGATTATACAAAAAATTTAAATTTCTGATTTAATTTAATTCAAGTATCACTCAAAAACTATAATTATTATAATTGTAAACATTTTGTTAAAAAAATAATGATCAGGATAGCAAAAATAAACTTTTACTAAAACTGAATTTCCCGACAAATTATATTTTTGAAAAATTTAATCTAAGCTTAAGCAGTACTGCTTACTTTAAAAAAGTAATATCACATTAATATTCATTTTATCACTTTAAAATGAGAATGCATCAAAATAGATTCGCAATTAATAAGCAAACAGACAAGCATAGATTAGATATGTTAAAAAAAAAAGCTCGTAATTAAAGCTTATGAAATCACTTAAAAAAAAAAAGTCTGAACATGCAATAAGATAACAGCGTAAATCCGAATCAA